AGAGAGAAAAAAGATTTACGAGAGACGGCTCTTCTATGTAATAACAATTATAGTTGATTTGTTTTATCATGGAACGCAGACCTATCCAGTTGATGCGTGATGTAAAGGGTCTAACCTTCTTCCAGAGTAACAAAACAGATTCAGGTCCTGGTCCACAATGTTCGTTAAGTTAAACAAATTACATATGCAGGGAGTAACACAATAACCGGGCTGAAATGTAGACACCCAACCCACACGTCTGAAAATAAAGCAAATGACGACCTTTCGGTCCATCCTGGACAATCATTAAGTCGTGTAAAGAAAGAGAGGTAGAGAAAGTCAATATATATAAGGTGAGAATGTGAGGTGAAAGGCAAGAAGGTTGAAGTATACCGTCAAGTACAGAAGAAAATGGGAATAACTCCTACACGGATGTCTAATGGAGAAGAGAAAAAGGTGAAATAAACACAAGAGAGAAAGCAGCATACAAGAAGAGAAAAAATGAGTCTAAAGGGGCTAAAGCTAAGTCAGATCACATTTGTTAAGAAGGTCAGAGCATTTAACAATGAACTGAGAAAACCAGAGTCAACAGCAACAAAGCCAAGACGAAGGTTCACGTTCGCCATGTTGTGTATGAGAGCCAATTGGACAAGACAGCGTCTGTGAAGACCAAACAGAAAAGAGCATCGAGTCTGGAGGCTTAACACTTCTTTTGTGTTCTTTCACTCTCTTACGAAAGGTTAAATGCTCTAACCTTAAATACGATCTGACTTAACTTTAGCACCTCTAGGATCTTTTTTTCTTGGCTTTCTACTCTGTTGTTATCTGCCTTTTGCAGTTTTCTTTGTTCTTATTAACTCTTATGGTATACTTCAACCTTCTCGTCTTTCACCTCACTTTCTTACTTTATATAGTGACTCTCTCTCTGTTTCTCTTTCTTGTCTCTTCTCTTTCTCTGGGCCTTGATAATTGTCCAGGACGGAGCGAAACGTTGTCACTTCCTATATTTCAAGATGTGTGGGTTAGGTGTCCAGATTACATAAAATCTGTATTTGTCTATCATTCCCCCCCCCCTTTCCCCAGTGGGCGGCGGGGGAAAGGTTACCCTATCTACAATAGGCAAACTTGGATGAGTATTTGGATGAGATTCTGATAGTATATATAATATTGATTGAAATAATTATAGATATTTCTTGAACATTTTTAATGGCGTTATTTCTAAATTATTCACGTTTTTAAATATTTCATCACAGTACAACTACTCAAATATCTTTATTTTATTCCCTCCTATTCGCCTCTATACCACCACAACCATCACTCTCACACCTGCATCTTCCCACCACCACCACCACCACTGGACACCATCACCACCACCAGGAGGGCAGCTTCTGCAATAGCACCACCCACGACCCCTGGGCTCCCACGCCCCAGAACCAGCTGTGCGGCCGTCGCTCGCTCTGGGAGCTCCTCAACACCCACCCGGACTTCATGTACGTCAACATCATTGATTATTCAACCCGTCCTCTTAAAAATAACGTCGCTTTTCGTTCGTATGCGCGCTATGGCCAAAAGTGGACGTAATTTGAAATGAAATCGACTCACAAAAGTGACGTACTGTCCCGTTTTCTGTTTGAGTCGTCCGGCCTACTCAGAAAGGTTAGAAGAGGAAACTTTCAATTAACATTTTTCATACAAATTTGAAACTATGAGAATTTCCTGCCCACCTAACCTACCAAAGGACCCTTAACTTACTGTTGTTGAAAAAAAAATCCCAAATTTGTTTTCATTTGTTTTCATTTTCAAATTACGTATACTTTCGGTTATACGGGAAACGGCCAAAAGCGACGTTATTTTTAAGAGGACAGGTTGGTGTGGTAGTGTCATAAGGACGGGGTTGAAGTTTCCTCCCCTCTCCACTACGTACTTACGTACCCGGGAGCCGGTCGGCCGAGCGGACAGCACGCTGGACTGTGATCCTGTGGTCCCGGGTTCGATCCCGGGCGCCGGCGAGAAACAATGGGCAGAGTTTCTTTCACCCTATGCCCCTGTTACCTAGCAGTAAATAGGTACCTGGGTGTTAGTCAGCTGTCACGGGCTGCTTCCTGGGGTGGAGGCTTGGTCGAGGACCGGGCCGCGGGGATACTAAAGCCCCGAAACCATCTCAAGATAACCTCAAGAATCTCAAAAAGATAACTTGTCGAGAAAGTCGGTAGATATGAAATGTTCTGCACAAAGTCCGTAGAGTTTAGCAGGTAGAAAATTGGTGTATTCAGATATGCTGCTATACTAAATGTTTCTTTAGATGACAGATTTGCAATCAAAGGACAACCCGTTCGTAACACTGATGGATATAGTGTGTAAAAGATGGATATTGTGCTTACCGGGAAGGCATAGGAGAGAGGCAACGAGGCGGTAGGTGACGAACTGGAGGTAGTAGAGGTAGGAAAGGAGATGAACCGGAGGTAGAGGTAGGGAGGGTGGAGATGAACCGGAGGTAGAGGTAGGGAGGGTGGAGATGAACCGGAGGCAGAGGTAAAGTAGGGAAGAAAGGAAGTAAAGAACAGGAAGAAGAATAATATCTCTCCCACCCCGCAAAACAGAGACACCAAGACGAGCAGCACTACCCCTCAAGTGACCATCAGCCTCCACAAGTCTCCACAAGCCAAGATCTTCTTCCTCTTTGATGCCCCCGACAACCAGGCAAGTATCTACTCCCTTCCAGTTGATCTGGCCTAAGACGCGTATACAATTTTATTATTAAAACAAAACAAGGAAATAAAGCCTATCAATTGTCATTTACTGGATGCAGTCATCCAAACGTTAAATTGTCTGTAAATATAAATATATATGCAAATAAACCACATTAAAGACGGGAAAATCGACCGAGCACTTTCAGTTATTTACATAACCAGTCACAATTATGATTTTCGCAGTGGTTATGTAAATAACTGAAAACGCTCAGTGAATTTTCCCATTTTTAATGTGGTTCAAATGCATTTATTGAGATCAATGTGTTCCTCATCTTTGCTTGAGAGAGAGAGAGAGAGAGAGAGAGAGAGAGAGAGAGAGAGAGAGAGAGAGAGAGAGAGAGAGAGAGAGAGAGAGAGAGAGAGAGAGAGAGAGAGAGAGAGAGAAAGAGAGATTTTGTAAGGGATAGTAATGAAAGGGATGTATATAAAGTAAGGTAATGAATATATTAATAGATCTAAATAGCGTCATTTGGTCAGCTCACAGCCTAAAACTGAAGGCTAGACCCAACAAATTTATTTATTAATATTATTCATCAATAAATTCAGTATTTCGCACTATTATTAAACACTAATTCCCATGATATCTCTGATATCACAGCTGGTTGGGTTAGGCTTATGACGTCAGGGCGGGTTGTATTAGGTCTGGCCCCTGACACAACACACCACAAACTGCACTAGCAACACATGCCCCAACATACCAGGCTACGCCAGCAACACATGTTGACGGACCAATTAACATTCCACATTTTCTTTCATCGCATGTGTGTCTGGCCTTCTGGGAGTTCAGGAGGATATCGCCGACACCAAAAGCCTTGTGAGCTACATAGTGTCCAAGAACACTGATCGCTACGGGTCCTTGCAGCTCGGACTCGCCACCTTCAGGACCAATAACATGGATCAAACAGAGTTCACTAAGAAGTTGGACATCTCTACCGTCACAAGTGAGTACTTTGCTTTTATTAGCACATTTAGGTACATCTACATTTAAGCATCTACCCTAGACTATATGAATGGGGTACATAGTGAGCCTCATGAACTAGCTACGTGATGAAAAATAAAAATCCCCATCATACAGGGCCATGTGAGCAATAGACTGCACTGGCAAACCTCACGAAGTTATGTTCATCGTCCATAAGTACTGTAGCCTCAATTTTCTACAGGATCCAGAGAAAATATATTTTGACCCAGTACCTCTTTCCAGCACATTTGAGCATCTGTCATGCATTTTAAGTAAAAAAAAATAATTCTGAGAGAGTTAAACCAAAATTTCGCAGCCTAATATTATCTCACTGCAGCCTTAACATGAAAATGTTACAGGCTTAATAGTGTACCAAATATTTCCTCTTGCCCCGTGCAAGTCTAAATTGTGACCGTTTATTTTTTGCAGACTTCCAATCCATTGACAATTATATGCCTGATCAAGATGACCGTTTGGTGAATGACACGATGCCGCTGGGGGAGGCGGTGATGGAGGTGGTGGGCGAACTCCAGGAGTACCACCCCGGTACTCTCCTAGTGGTCGCCGCCATGCACACACTCGCACAAGACCAGGCAGACTTTGTGGACACCGTGAGTCTCTCGTCAAGTAAATGTACCCTTCACTTCTATTTTTCCAACTCTCTCTGTCTATCAGGTCCTCGCTAATGTTCGCAAAGATGTCAATTACGCTAAAAACACGTAATAAATCATAATAATTTGTCCTAAAAACCAATATACAACAGAGGAACTTCACAGAATATGAACGACGCGACCCCTTCAAGTTCCAGTATGTTTATTGAGATAAGAAAGAAATAGAAATACATCTCAAAGGGATAGAGTAGCTTAGGCTATTTCTACCCCCCCAGTACTAATCAACACAAGCATACAATCCAGACTATTCTCGTTCAAACTGTGGCCATCAACCCTAACGCGAATTCGTAAATACCTGTATTTCCGTACTGTGTAATCAAAAAACTTGCTTTTTCATATATTAATTGCTAATGTGCATATATTATAGTTTTGTAAAGTCTTGCCTAGAGTAAGTGTTTTGATTATGCTTGCAATTATCTTTATCTATAGAACGTAGGTGAAGTATTCAGTGAGCTTCAGGCTGTAGAAACCCACTTTACATGACTGCCAATTATTGACGTTCTAATTTTTCACAACCAATGCTTCGCTTACTGATGTTAGAAACTAGTAGATCAACTAGCCAAAGCAATGCACAACACACCTCACATTACCCGTCATCCAATTCCCCATGTTGCACGTAAAGGAGCCTTCAAAAATACCATCACCCAAGATTTTGCGACGAAATGGAAAACATCATGCTCACCTTTGTACTACGGGTCCATTAAAAAGAAATGGGAAACTTGGAAACATGTCAGATATAAAAGCAGAGAAATTGATATAGCGATGACCAGATTAAGGCTGGGACACACCAAACTAGCAGCACACAGCTCTAAGTACAGAACAGACATCAACGAACTCTGCATCCACTGTCAGGTGCCTGAAACAATCGAACACTATCTCCTACATTGCTTCCGACACTATAGTGCCAGAGTAAATTTCAAACAAGTACTTATCTCACTTAAAATACCCTTTACCATCGAGCATATATTAGGAGGCGGTGACCACTCGTTACAAGAAAAATACCAAATAGTCAAAGCACTGGCTAAATATCTCCAATCGACCAACAAATTGGGTCACATCTGACCCGCGCCACATTTATACCTGGCGCCACCAACAGCTAAACACAGACAACAACTGCCTCATCGCAACACCATGGATCAGCTGACGCCATAAACACAACACACCGCCCTACGGTGCGGCAAGTCTCCCTCTAACATACACCTCTGTTCTAGTCGCCGCTCCTCTGTCTACAGCACAACGCAACAAGCACCCTTGAAACTCTTATCATCTTCAACATAAACACCTGTACTGGTGCAGTCATCGGGAGGACAAACCCTTCATGCAAACTGCACCTACTATCAAGAAGATGATGTTAGAAACGCACTTGCATCTAATTCTTTACCTATGTACTGTAAATTAAAATAATAGGCAACAGAACTAAAACAGCTATAGACAAAACTATAATGTACTATAATGTTAAACTATATCAGTTCGAAAAAAGTGACGATGTGCCTTCGGGTACGTGTGGTTCTCATGGTATTTCTTGCGTTTCTTTGTTATGCTATTTTTGATTGTCTGAGCCTTTTATTGTCACTCATCGAATTTTTTCACGACTGTCTGAGGCTTTTACTGACACTGTCATCGGAATTGTTCACTTTTTCTAAACAGCGACAATAAAAGCCTCATGCTTTTATTGTCGTTGTTATCGGATTTTTTTACGAATGGGTTTTTCTTGCTTCAAGCAATAAGAGATGTCGAAACACCTGAACTTAATTTCCTTACACATCCATTGCAGCTGACACGTCCACTTTCCATTGTACTACATACAAGCCTTATAATCTTGAATAATCAAAGTAATTATGTGCATATATGATAAATCTTCACGGTCCTTGAGAGCTTGAATCTCCAGCAGGCAGAGAACCGCCAGCGTGACGATCAAAGCTTACCTTATGTCTGCAGGAGGCGCTGCTGAAGAAGAAGATCAAGCTGCTGGTGTTTAGTCCCAACGAGCTGGAGACCATCGCGCCCCTGCTGCCCACCCTCCAGGACTCTGGCGGGAATTTCTACGCCGGCAGTCGTGCAGTATCCTCAGAAGCCCTTAAGAGCGACATGGACAGTTATCTCGAAGCCCACACTATCGATGATCACTATCTGGTGAGAGAGAAACTTTAAGATAATTTGATCACTGTGAGCGACTTTGAGATCATATTTCACATGGAATATAATTTTGACTTCAGGAATCGGTATAACATACGGTTAATAAAGTTTGATAGGCATCATTAGCTGTCTTCATTTTCCTCTGAAGGGCTTGAGCACAATAGCTGTAAAAGTAGTTATTAAAAATAGTCATATTATTGAACTTCTAGGATATAAAGTAGTTATTTTACGCTCCTGTAGCCAGCAATATGAGAGACAAATATTAGGCTTCAAATATAGGTTTGAGGTATATGTGCCCTGAATCTTCACCATAATGGAAACATTTATAGTTTGAGCAAAGTATTACAACACGTTCTCACATCTAGTCACGCTTGACATTCAGTACGGGGTGAGTCGCTTCTCTGTGGCTGTCGGCAAGAATACTTCCCTGCCAGTGGTCATCCTTGACAACACTCGCTCGAAGCAAGTCAACGCCCGCGTCACCATAGCAAACTTCGCCGAAGACAGCATCGAGATGTACTTAGTAAATCCTATGTATGGCAAGCCGATTTTGTGTGGTCGACCAACGAGCACTAACGAAATGGAATGTTACCATGAAAACATCGACTCTGGGGTGTTTGTGCACTTCCCTACAATGACGGTAAGTAGGCTTTACCTGCACTCCACGCAGATATTAAACATCTTAGTCTCGAGCATTTTAAGGAACGTTTCACATACAAATGTTTGTCTTGACAGGGTTTGTTATTGTTAGAAACCTAATTATAAATGAATTATATAGTAATTTATAATTGTAATCAAATTAGTAAATAAAATTACATTGGTCAAATACTCGAAAGTTGCACACAGTATCTAGTGCATTAAGTTAGTACACACAACAGCACACACACACACACTAAATAGAATGCATTAGGCAGAGATGTGGTAGAGGCAGACTCCATGCACATTTTCAAATGTAGATATGATAGAACTCAATAAGCTCAGAAACCTGCACACTAGTAGATTGGCAGTTGAGAGGCTGAACCTAAGAGCCGAAGCTCAACTCCCTCCCACCCCTCCAAAACAAAACTAGGCGAGTACAGCAGGCAAACCTCACTCAAGCATAAAACATATTCACACAGTAGGGAAATAATAGTAATTCCTTTAACACTTACAGACTCCAGATCCCGCCGCAGAGTATAAGGTACTCCTGAAGAACACGGGAAGCACCACTGTTGAAGGTGACGTTACTTGGAGTGTGGTAAGCATGGATGTCTCCAGTCCCCAGGTGAGATATTACCACCACTACCTGCGTGTCTCTCACTACCACAACTACCTGCGTGTCTCATTACCACCACTACCTGCGTGTCTCTCACTACCACAACTACCTGCGTGTCTCATTACCACTACTACCTGCATGTCTCATTACCACCACTACCTGCATGTCTCATTACCACCACTACCTGCATGTCTCATTGCCACCATTACCTACATGTCTCTCATTACCACCATTACCTACATGTCTCATTACCACCACTACCTACATGTCTCTCATTACCACCATTACCTACATGTCTCATTACCACCACTACCTACATGTCTCTCATTACCACCACTACCTGCATGTCTCTCATTACCACCACTACCTACATGTCTCATTACCACCACTACCTGCATGTCTCTCATTACCACCACTACCTACATGTCTCTCATTACCACCATTACCTACATGTCTCATTACCACCACTGCCTGCATGTCTCATCACCCTCACGACCTGGTCCAGTACAGATTAAGAGAATAAATAAAGATAGAACAATGCAGACGATGTACAGTGACCATAAAACAGAGAGAATGAGGAAGAGACAGAGATAGACAGAAACAGAGATAGGCCTGTATAGAAACCGGGTCGGTTAGGGCAGAGACAGGAAGACAGGCAGAAAAACACAAACACAGAGACGGACAAACAGATAGGGAGGGAAGGAGAGGAGGGAGTTTGAAGAGAGGGAAGGAGAGGGGGGAACAGGTGGAGAAGAAGAGGTGGGAAAGGGGCAGACTGGAAGAGGGGGAGGAGAGAGGTGTGAGGGAGGGAGAGGGTGGATATTAGGATGGAAAGGCTGAGAGGATGGGAGCGAGGAGGAAGACATGTGGGAGAAAAGGAGAAAGGGGAGAAAGTAGCAGATGGGAAGAGACGGATATGGAAAGAAATGAGAGAGGGGGAGTGCGGAAACAGAAAGAGAGACCTGGGCGCAGCCGGGTATCCCCCCCCTCTAGCATAGTTAGTTATGAACATATTTCAACACTCAAATTATATTATTTCATGATAAAGTGAGGTGATATTGTGATCAAAATATATAATGATACAATTATATGATGATACAGCTGTGTAGTGATTAACTATACATAGACAAGTGTAGTAATACAAGGATACATCAATGCATTTTGTATAATGATATGCTGATACACAGATATATATGTATATAGTATTGACCGAGTGCTTAGACTAAGTGGAGTGGCGACTTTGCAGATTGTGGTGGATGTGTGGTCATCAGAGGACGCTGGCGTCAAGGCCGGCATTCCTGAGAGCAACAACCTAATACTTTTCTGCCAGGTACTATATAAAAACTACAATGTCTCTATGTCTGACCAAACGTAAAAGGCTAAAAGATTAAGTGGGACTTGCCTCACCCAACTTTTCAAGATGACACATTGGAGAGGGGGAAGTTTTCCGGAGTTGTAGAATTTTTGTCCGTTAATTTTCCGCAAATTTTTCACAACATGACTACTTTATCACCACAGACCTCCGAAGGTTAGGGGTGCAACCTAACCTCTGCAGGTTTGATCTCTAGTTACCCAGATGTCATAGCACTCACAGCCACTAACTGCACATGGAGCCTAACATAAAAATATGTTCACAAACGTTATCCGCAGTAGAAGGGTTAATAGCCTAAAATTCGATACACCTTAAAACTGACATCCTGACTACTGTTTATTCAGTAACATGTATACTTCACATCGTAAGTTCCCAGAAAATTTAATGTAATTCATAATACTGTAAAAGACATTTGGAAATTAAAACTATGAAAGATTACTACCTCGACAATAATGACACATGATAGGCATTCAACTTTAACTCTTCTTAATGCCTGATAAAAGCCAGTCTAATCACTTATGTATGGAATCATAATGTTTAAGGATCATCGTGCATGTTTTTGTTATAGTTTAAGTACTTGTTCCTAGGCTTTGGTGCCTGTTTTACGAGTTTTTCTTCAAAATGTAATTCTTGTGTTATTTCGTCAGATCTCGCATGTTAGCGGCGTATTAGAGTATATTACAGTCCAGGCGAAGGTGGAGCTGAACAACGGTACCGACACAGTGGAGAGACTGCTTACTATGCTGGATGATGGACCCGGAGGTGAGGCGACCGTCGGTATACAGGAAAGGAATTAGTATAAGAACAACACAAGGCAAAAGAAAACATTGTTAAAAAAGGATAAATCGGGGAAGAAAGAGAAACATTAAAAATGTTGAAGATTTTCGGTGAATGCGAAAGCAAAACGTTGACTTTTAATTATTTTCTGTTGTAATTGCATTAAAAAAAAAGAATCTTGCCCATTTTGAGTTATGACGCTATATTTTGTTTGTACTAGTCATTTAATTTCTTCCATCGAAAGTAAAATCATTCTAATCGTTCACGAGTTCCTGTTTACTATTGTATATCCCCGACAGATGTGGACGTGCGCGCCCGTGACACAGTGTGGTCTGCGCAGGTGGAGGGGGACTGGCCGCCTGGCACCACACTCACCGTCACTGAACTGGCCATCAACAACAAGCCTCAAAACTTCTCGCCCTTCGCCTCCATCTCCAGGTGAACACCCTTCGTGTTCATGTTTCAACTTAAATTGAGTTTAATTTTTGGGTCTTTCCATGTATGTCATCGACCCGATTGTTATAATTCGTAATGGATGAAATATGTATGTTTTTATTCTATTTTCTTTATACACGAAATCTTTTCTTTGGTTTTAACGTCTCTGGGAATTGAAACTTACCACCTCCAGTTCTCTGGAGCGGAAAGTCAGGGCAGGTGAAAGTGGAGGCGTGGGAGGCTCTGGAGTGATGCCCATAGACCCGACCAAGGGTTACTGCTGCGGCAGCTACAGTAACGCCGCCAAGAGCCGTATTACCGAAGTCAACATGTATCTGTTGCGCCCTTACTCCATCACCTTCACTCACCATATTCAGGTAGTATTTGGTATTTCTCCGCTGTCTTAAGAATTGCTGTAGATCATTGCCAGTGCATGGTTTCTTCAGCTCCTCGGCGGCTCCAAAGAAAATCTTGAGGGAAAATGTTATCGGGACCTGTTTGTCTGTTTCAAGTTTCATATATCACAGTATATGTTTCAGGTGTCAATCATTATATAATTGTGTTTCCACACGTTTAAGGAGTCCTATATCTAGGTTATGTATTTCAGGAGCTTCCCGTCCGCATTAAGGAACTGAAACTAGCCCCTGAACCTCCTGTAATGAAAGGAGATACATGGGAGGTGTCTATCACCTGGACTCGAAATGTCACAACAACAGACTCAACGGTAAGGGCTCTCTCTCTCTCTCTCTCTCTCTCTCTCTCTCTCTCTCTCTCTCTCTCTCTCTCTCTCTCTCTCTCTCTCTCTCTACAGTGAGAGCTGAAAACGCAAACCGGAACACTATCAAGGCTACCCCACAGCAACATGCTCCAACATATTTTCAATATTACAAATACTTCAAGTGATATATCAAACCTTATATGAGTAACTGATACAAAATGTATTTCCAGGATTCTATTTGGATTCGATATGGTCTCACCATCTCAGCCGTCGGGGACAACTTCCTCAGCGCTTCTGCTGTAAGTAATATACACTACTTCACCTCATTAAATTATATTTTAGTATAATCCTCAAGAATAATACATATTTATTTAATAAAGTAAACTTAAAATTCTCAGAGTTATATACTACTACTACTACTACTAATAATAATAATAATAATAATTATATTAGTAATGCAAGATGAACTCACGATAAGGTGATGTATCAACGAAGAAGTAGTGAGGCAATGTAATGGGATTGAACTCACGTCCCTGGACTCCTAGTGGGTAGTGCTGGGGAGCACTACCCACTAGGAGCCTACTAGGAAGAGAACCCTCTTCCAATTAAACCAAGATGCAAGAGCACTAGTCAGAGGGTTAGGAGAAAGACATGAAAATAATCAATACAGAATATGCATATTCAATGAAACATTAATTATATATATATGTCGTACCTAGTAGCCAGAACGCACTTCTCAGCCTACTATGCAAGGCCCGATTTGCCTAATAAGCCAAGTTTTACTGAATTAATATATTTTCTCAATTTTTTTTCTTATGAAATGATAAAGCTACCCATTTCATTATGTATGAGGTCAATTTTTTTTTTGGAGTTAAAATTAACGTAGATATATGACCGAACCTAACCAACCCTACCTAACCTAACCTAACCTATCTTTATAGGTTAGGTTAGGTTAGGTTAGGTAGGTTAGGTAGTCGGAAAACAATTAATTCATGAAAACTGGGCTTATTAGGCAAATCGGGCCTTTCATAGTACGCTGAGAAGTGCGTTCTGGCTACTAGGTACGACATACATATATATATATATATATATATGCGAACAAGCCTGAATGGTCCCCAGGACAATATGCAACTGAAAACTCACACCCCAGAAGTGACTCGAACCCATACTCCCAGAAGCAATGCAACTGGTATGTACAAGACGCCTTAATCCACTTGACCATCACGACCGGACATAATGAGGTGATAGCCGAGGCTATTTGAACCACCCCACCGCCGGCACTCGGATAGTAATCTTGGGCATAGCATTTTACCAAATCACCTCATTCTTTGGGGCACACGTGAGGAACACAAATGCGAACAAGCCTGAATGGTCCCCAGGACAATATGCAACTGAAAACTCACACCCCAGAAGTGACTCGAACCCATACTCCCAGAAGCAACGCAACTGGTATGTACAAGACGCCTTAATCCACTTGACCATCACGACCGGACATAATGAGGTGATAGCCGAGGCTATTTGAACCACCCCACCGCCGGCACTCGGATAGTAATCTTGGGCATAGCATTTTACCAAATCACCTCATTCTTTGGGGCACACGTGAGGAACACAAATGCGAACAAGCCTGAATGGTCCCCAGGACAATATGCAACTGAAAACTCACACCCCAGAAGTGACTCGAACCCATACTCCCAGAAGCAACGCAACTGGTATGTACAAGACGCCTTAATCCACTTGACCATCACGACCGGACATAATGAGGTGATAGCCGAGGCTATTTGAACCACCCCACCGCCGGCACTCGGATAGTAATCTTTGTGATAGTAATCGCATTTGTGTTCCTCACGTGTGCCCCAAAGAATGAGGTGATTTGGTAAAATGCTATGCCCAAGATTACTATCCGAGTGCCGGCGGTGGGGTGGTTCAAATAGCCTCGGCTATCACCTCATTATGTCCGGTCGTGATGGTCAAGTGGATTAAGGCGTCTTGTACATACCAGTTGCGTTGCTTCTGGGAGTATGGGTTCGAGTCACTTCTGGGGTGTGAGTTTTCAGTTGCATATTGTCCTGGGGACCATTCAGGCTTGTTCGCATTTGTGTTCCTCACGTGTGCCCCAAAGAATGAGGTGATTTGGTAAAATGCTATGCCCAAGATTACTATCCGAGTGCCGGCGGTGGGGTGGTTCAAATAGCCTCGGCTATCACCTCATTATGTCCGGTCGTGATGGTCAAGTGGATTAAGGCGTCTTGTACATACCAGTTGCGTTGCTTCTGGGAGTATGGGTTCGAGTCACTTCTGGGGTGTGAGTTTTCAGTTGCATATTGTCCTGGGGACCATTCAGGCTTGTTCGCATTTGTGTTCCTCACGTGTGCCCCAAAGAATGAGGTGATTTGGTAAAATGCTATGCCCAAGATTACTATCCGAGTGCCGGCGGTGGGGTGGTTCAAATAGCCTCGGCTATCACCTCATTATGTCCGGTCGTGATGGTCAAGTGGATTAAGGCGTCTTGTACATACCAGTTGCGTTGCTTCTGGGAGTATGGGTTCGAGTCACTTCTGGGGTGTGAGTTTTCAGTTGCATATTGTCCTGGGGACCATTCAGGCTTGTTCGCATTTGTGTTCCTCACGTGTGCCCCAAAGAATGAGGTGATTTGGTAAAATGCTATGCCCAAGATTACTATCCGAGTGCCGGCGGTGGGGTGGTTCAAATAGCCTCGGCTATCACCTCATTATGTCCGGTCGTGATGGTCAAGTGGATTAAGGCGTCTTGTACATACCAGTTGCGTTGCTTCTGGGAGTATGGGTTCGAGTCACTTCTGGGGTGTGAGTTTTCAGTTGCATATTGTCCTGGGGACCATTCAGGCTTGTTCGCATTTGTGTTCCTCACGTGTGCCCCAAAGAATGAGGTGATTTGGTAAAATGCTATGCCCAAGATTACTATCCGAGTGCCGGCGGTGGGGTGGTTCAAATAGCCTCGGCTATCACCTCATTATGTCCGGTCGTGATGGTCAAGTGGATTAAGGCGTCTTGTACATACCAGTTGCGTTGCTTCTGGGAGTATGGGTTCGAGTCACTTCTGGGGTGTGAGTTTTCAGTTGCATATTGTCCTGGGGACCATTCAGGCTTGTTCGCATTTGTGTTCCTCACGTGTGCCCCAAAGAATGAGGTGATTTGGTAAAATGCTATGCCCAAGATTACTATCCGAGTGCCGGCGGTGGGGTGGTTCAAATAGCCTCGGCTATCACCTCATTATGTCCGGTCGTGATGGTCAAGTGGATTAAGGCGTCTTGTACATACCAGTTGCGTTGCTTCTGGGAGTATGGGTTCGAGTCACTTCTGGGGTGTGAGTTTTCAGTTGCATATTGTCCTGGGGACCATTCAGGCTTGTTCGCATTTGTGTTCCTCACGTGTGCCCCAAAGAATGAGGTGATTTGGTAAAATGCTATGCCCAAGATTACTATCCGAGTGCCGGCGGTGGGGTGGTTCAAATAGCCTCGGCTATCACCTCATTATGTCCGGTCGTGATGGTCAAGTGGATTAAGGCGTCTTGTACATACCAGTTGCGTTGCTTCTGGGAGTATGGGTTCGAGTCACTTCTGGGGTGTGAGTTTTCAGTTGCATATTGTCCTGGGGACCATTCAGGCTTGTTCGCATTTGTGTTCCTCACGTGTGCCCCAAAGAATGAGGTGATTTGGTAAAATGCTATGCCCAAGATTACTATCCGAGTGCCGGCGGTGGGGTGGTTCAAATAGCCTCGGCTATCACCTCATTATGTCCGGTCGTGATGGTCAAGTGGATTAAGGCGTCTTGTACATACCAGTTGCGTTGCTTCTGGGAGTATGGGTTCGAGTCACTTCTGGGGTGTGAGTTTTCAGTTATATATATATATATATATATATATATATATATATATATATATATATATATATATATATATATATATGTATATATATATATATGCGAACAAGCCTGAATGGTCCCCAGGACATATGCAACTGAAAACTCACACCCCAGAAGTGACTCGAACCCATACTCCCAGAAGCAACGCATCTGGTATGTACAAGACGCCTTAATCCACTTGACCATCACGACCGGACAAAATGAGGTGATAGCCGAGGCTATTTGAACCACCCCACCGCCGGCACTCGGATAGTTATCTTGGGCATAGCATTTTACCAAATCACCTCATTCTTTGGGGCAACACGTGAGGAACACAAATGCGAACAAGCCTGAATGGTCCCCAGGACATATGCAACTGAAAACTCACACCCCAGAAGTGACTCGAACCCATACTCCCAGAAGCAACGCATCTGGTATGTACAAGACGCCTTAATCCACTTGACCATCACGACCGGACAAAATGAGGTGATAGCCGAGGCTATTTGAACCACCCCACCGCCGGCACTCGGATAGTTATCTTGGGCATAGCATTTTACCAAATCACCTCATTCTTTGGGGCAACACGTGAGGAACACAAATGCGAACAAGCCTGAATGGTCCCCAGGACATATGCAACTGAAAACTCACACCCCAGAAGTGACTCGAACCCATACTCCCAGAAGCAACGCATCTGGTATGTACAAGACGCCTTAATCCACTTGACCATCACGACCGGACAAAATGAGGTGATAGCCGAGGCTATTTGAACCACCCCACCGCCGGCACTCGGATAGTTATCTTGGGCATAGCATTTTACCAAATCACCTCATTCTTTGGGGCAACACGTGAGGAACACAAATGCGAACAAGCCTGAATGGTCCCCAGGACATATGCAACTGAAAACTCACACCCCAGAAGTGACTCGAACCCATACTCCCAGAAGCAACGCATCTGGTATGTACAAGACGCCTTAATCCACTTGACCATCACGACCGGACAAAATGAGGTGATAGCCGAGTATATATATATATATATATATATATATATATATATATATATATATATATATATATATATATATATATATATATATATAACCGAAAGGGTAAGATTATTGATTCTAACATGATTCTTCTCAATATTTCTTAAGCTTTTTCTTTACAGTCGAGGGAAGTTGAAAAATTAACTCTCCAAAATTCATTTTCACACTTTATTAGATCATAATAAAGTGTGAAAATGAACTTTGGAGAGTTAATTTTTCAGCTTCCTTCGACAGTGAAGAAAAACATAAGAAATACTGAGAAAATTCGTGTTAGAATCATTAATCTTACCCTTTCGGTCATATTTATCAACGTATGTTTGCAAGAAAGACTGCTACCAAAATGTATTATATATATAAATATGTCATTATAAACTTGTAATGATGTGTGTGTGTATCATTATAAACTTTTTGATCCATTGAGTATTGGAACCTGGGGTTAGGTTAGGGGTCACCCCACTAACTATCCAGTACTAATACCACCACCATCAATTGCCTAAAACTATTAGACGGTACTGGAACGCACATTCTTTAACATGGGTCCTATAACCATCCACCACCCAGCAACTCTCATAGTGTATATTCAGTACAGTTTTTCATCGAACCCTAGAACATGCTGGGATCACGCTGAACCTACACGTGAGAGACACAAAGCTTGAATGATCCCCAAGATATAAATTACTATAAACTCTTTGACCCCATAAGGAATATAATATAATATAGCACCCGCAATACCGTGAGCCTCTGTATCTATTTAATCAACCTTTTACGTGGCAAAATGAGCGTGTTCGTATCCTTCTCATGGTTCCTATTGATTTTCTCAAATCACTATGTATTTCCCTCTGGGTGACCCACGGTAGCCCCTGAATGGATCGGACCAGGTCTCGGCCGTCAGCAAGCGCTGTGTGGCCATCCTCCCCAACACTGGAGACGATGTCTACATCGCTGTAGCCTACTACGACGCTACGGATGGTAGAGTGGTGAGTACTACATCTACTAAAGTTTTATCTACAGCTTACACCAGATAATTTATTTATAATTTTTAACCTTGGGCGAAACAAGACGTTATTGGTCATCTCCGTCTCGTCGATTTTCATTGTTAATTATTGTTTAATTTGTTTGGGGTTATGTATACTCTTATATACATTGCCAGGAAAAATTAATTAATGCCTTAGCGATAGATTCTAAGTAGAAATATTACAAAATCGTACCTAAAAATTCTAACAGAAACTGTAAATGCTAACTTTCAAACAAATCTTATGATGCTCGCATTCTGATTATGTCTGTCTTCCCAACAGGGTGTTCCTTCGCTGCCTGTATTCGTACAAGTAAGTTTACAGGATTTGTCGACAATTTGTTTGATAGTGATTTTTTAGCATTGATCTTAGTAAAGCCACATTAACACATAGAATTTTTTTTTACTAGTGTTTAACGACGTAAAAATATAATTCTTAAAGAGTCAATATGTTAATAGGTACATTTCACAATAACAGTCACAAGGACACTTATGAGAATAAATATTGAAGCTATAAAATGGGATCGAATTCGCATTTTAAGGCACATATTTATTAACCAAAACCCACAATTGCGAAAACTGACCCCAGAATACTACACCGACTCCTTAGACGGTCTCTTTGATTGGTCAGTTCAGCGACGGCCTTGCTTCTTGCATGTCGGCGTTCGATTCCCAATAGTCCACGTGGTTGGGTAGCATTCCGTTATCCTATCCTATCCTATTAATTACCTTGCTTCCTCAGACTGCTTACAAACCTGGTCGTTGGAACGTGTTTGTCATGATTGTAGTCAATGAGGAATTACTACAATGGGGAATATTTCTCATTGATTGCAATACCATTTTCATGTAGTTTTGTTTTATTTTAAATAATTATATTATGAATGAATAGAAGTTGTGGATCTTCCCGCAAATATTAGTAACTAATTTGTTCGTTCATATATCGTAGGTTGAGAACGCCGTCACTGTTCCTCCCACCACCACCACAGCCTCAACATCAACAACCACAACTCCTTCCACCACCACAGCTGCCACTACAACTCCTACCACCACCACCACCACCACAACTATTAGCACTACCACCGTTGAGGTCACCACTACCAAAGGAGCATCCACAGCAACACTGGCGTTCTCGTGTGTGGTGGTAGCGGCGTTGGCAATGCTGAGTTAGAACCGGTTTTGGAAGTGGGGGAGGGGGGAGTAGGGGAGGGGGGAGCAGGTGTTCCTGCTGGGTTTAGGTAAATAACATACTTTTGTATGCTAAAATGAAAGACATATTGGAGATTTCTTTGCAAGAATATTATACATCAACAGCAACGAAATTTTCCATTCAAGACACATTATTGTATTTAATTTTCAATCATAATACTGGAACTGATTAAATTTAAAAATGTTAAAATGTTGTGTTAAAAATGAATTAATTTGTCAAGTAATAAAAGCAATCACAGTTATGACAGTATAAATTATATAAAAAAGTTAACTTTAAAATCAAATAGTTATTTTCTGTTTTATAAGATATGAATAATGCGGGGACTTAGAGCAAACATGTTACCAGAGCCTACAGCAAACATGTTACCAGAGCCTACAGCAAACACGTTACCAGAGCCTACAACAAACACGTTACCAGAGCCTACAGCAAACACGTTACCAGAGCCTACAGCAAACATGTTACCAGAGCCTACAGCAAACATGTTACCAGAGCCTACAGCAAACACGTTACCAGAGCCTACAGCAAACACGTTACCAGAGCCTACAGCAAACATGTTACCAGAGCCTACAACAAACACGTTACCAGAGCCTACAGCAAACATGTTACCAGAGCCTACAGAAAACATGTTACCAGAGCCTACAGCAAACATGTTATCAGAGCCTACAGCAAACATGTTACCAGAGCCTACAGCAAACATGTTACCAGAGCCTACAGCAAACATGTTACCAGAGCCTACAGCAAACATGTTACCAGACCCTACAGCAAACATGTTACCAGAGCCTACAGCAAACATGTTACCAGAGCCTACAGCAAACATGTTACCAGAGCCTACAGCAAACACGTTACCAGAGCCTACAGCAAACACGTTACCAGAGCCTACAGCAAACACGTTACCAGAGCCTACAGCAAACATGTTACCAGAGCCTACAACAAACACGTTACCAGAGCCTACAGCAAACACGTTACCAGAGCCTACAGCAAACGCGTTACCAGAGCCTACAGCAAACACGTTACCAGAGCCTACAGCAAACGCGTTACCAGAGCCTACAGCAAACATGTTACCAGAGCCTACAGCAAACATGTTACCAGAGCCTACAGCAAACATGTTACCAGAGCCTACAGCAAACATGTTACCAGAGCCTACAGGAAACATATTACCAGAGCCTACAGCAAACACGTTACCAGAGCCTACAGCAAACACGTTACCAGAGCCTACAGCAAACGCGTTACCAGAGCCTACAGCAAACATGTTACCAGAGCCTACAGCAAACATGTTACCAGAGCCTACAGCAAACATGTTACCAGAGCCTACAGGAAACATATTACCAGAGCCTACAGCAAACACGTTACCAGAGCCTACAGCAAACACATTACCAGAGCCTACAGCAAACACGTTACCAGAGCCTACAACAAACTCAGCTTGGATGTGTGTGGGTGACTTTTTTAATGTTCACCAAACACCTCATGGCGACGGTCAGTGTAACAACAGTGGCAGAGGCTTCTTGGAACACTTCATAACCATACTGTATACGATATTGATCAACAAACCCATTTAATGGGAAATAGGTTGGACTATGTGATGAGCATAGCCTAGTAGAGAGTAACATTAATACTAGGCTCATTCCAGAAGTTGTCTGAGAATATATTGAAAACTATAACACCTACGCTATTGCGGATATTATAGGTCCAGTCTCCACTCCTAAGTGAAAATTTACATTCAATGTCAACCTTAAACCGCACTTCACTTAAGGGTTTATATTCACAAATGATACACTGGGTACACGGCCTTATCAGAGGTAACTTTTCATGTGATTTTGGCATTATTAAATATAATAATACACGAGTTAAATAGATATAAAAACTACGGGAAACTAGTGATCCTCATGGACAGAGGAACCTATTATTGTTCCATTCACAACAGCCCGTCCTCTTAAGGTTTCCCAACGTCAAGAAACTGTCGTACTAAAGTGCCCTTATCCTAACCTACCAAAGGATCTAAAACAAAAAAACGGGACAGTACGTCAATTTCGCGAGTCGCTACCATTTACTAGTACGACAATTTTTGGCCTTGAGTATACGTCAAAATGCGACGTTCTATTAGGAAGACGGGTTGAAGTGTGTTTATTTGTATTAGAGAGAGCTTGTGTAATAAAAATGTACTTCATAAGAATAGTTTCTTATACCTAGATAAATGGGTCTTGTAGTTTGATCAGACTAGATCAGACTTCACTAGAAGGGCTTATATTCACCTTATATATTACACCCTTCACCTTCTCAAGAAGGTGAAGGGACAACGACGTTTCGGTCTTGTAGCACAGTGGGCAACAGCCTCGGATAACAACCAAGAAACCTGGGTTCAATCACCCAAAATACATAGATACGGTTAAGTAGTTCACCTAGTAGTATCCAAGAGTTGGGCAACTGTTGTAGGTTGCATCTTGGGAAGGTCAAGGGTGACCTCAAAAAGTCTAAGATCCGGCTTATTGTCCCCAACAATGGTAATTAATAAATTAGACAATTATCTTTATTTGCACGTGACTGAACACAGGAGTTATTCTTTGGCTGAAGCTACACGTACAGGACTGGTATTGAACAGATAATTTACAAGTGAGGGAAGAAATTATCAAATTAAGTTACCAAGTCGGGAAGGCTATGTAGGAAGTGAAGGAAGACTCAACAGAGATGTCGTTCAGGAACTCACCTAATTGTACTTGCAATGGTTGAGTTTAAGGTTGATTGTGAGACGGTTGTTTGTGATTTAGAGACGACGACGACGAATCGGATGCGCCCCAGCGTACCCGTGATGGGTTAATCGCCAAGCATAATGGCAAAAAAACACCATCAATAGAGCTTGTTGATGGTGCAGGGGCCTCGTGAGAAATTAATGATTCCTGCCGTATGGTGTTGTGTCTGTGACGATCGTCTAGGTAATACAGCGTTCGTGTAGTAACTGTGACGAATAGCGTGCTACCCTCGCGGCGTTCGTGTCTGTAATGACCTCCCCGTTGCCAGGAAGTATTTTATAATGTCAGTTACACAGTATTGATTGTTTGTAACTTTTGTAGTTTTCATTAATTTAATTGTAATTTAATACTTACCAATATTTTGTATAGTTATTACAGCGAAAATTAAATTTTGGTAAATAATGATTTTGTATCACACGCAAATTACGTGCTTAAATTTATTTTTCCTGGGACTATCCAACAAGGATTGTAAATAAGTGGAATGTATTACCAATTGGCATTGTTGAGTGACAGTTCAGTAAGTTTATAAAAAAAATAGGATAGACAATATGCGAGAGAAAATGGCTGGATCCAGAGAACCTGTCTCATATGAGCCATCTTAGGCCTTCAGCAGTGTTCCTTTATTCTTATACGGTAATACAAACTCTGTCTCTGTCTCTCTTTATCAGTCTCTTTCTCTCTATCTACCCCTTCCACCTTTTTATCAAGACATGGAAGTATCTATCTCAGTATCTTAGCATAAGCCTACTCGTTTGTATTATTTTCATTATTATTTTAGTCAGCATTAATTATGATTAACTTTGTAATTTCTTTGTTTTTATTAAATCCATAATCATATTGATTATTTTTCTTGTCAATGTTTATTAAAGCCTTAATTTTACTTGCCATCTGTGTCCAACTTACCTAATTACACTGATTCCTAATTCATTTTTAACTTGTTCCTATTATATTTAATTTTTTTGCTATAGTTTTTTATTAATAACTATAGCTATATAATTATCATGTAAAGAATAATAATCTAGTCAATCTCAATATAGAATATTTTTATTGAAGATATTCAATCTTTGTCAATCTTTATTGAATCATTTTTTATATTTATATGTATCCTTGTCTAATGACAGTGATCTTTATTTTACTTTTTACTTGTTCCCATTATTTGCTTTTTTTGCAATAGTTATTTTATATCTAGAATTTTTTTGTGATTGCTCCTAAGTTTTATTTTCTACTGAAATTTGTTTATTTCTATTATTATTTTATTATAGTATAAATTTAGTAATTTTGCTAAGTTTATTTTATTACTAATCATATGCTTCCTTTTTGTCCTCCACTTTTATCTATGAATATTTTTTAATCTGAATTTTTATTGTAACTGTTTATTATAATCTATTGCCACATACCTCCCCAGTATTTTAATCGGAATATCCTCAAAGTCTTCTCCATTCTCTCTCTATGCAAACTACCATTGACCCTGAATTAAATTTGCTATCACATATTTACAATAATCAGCACATTGATCATCACCATTGCAGTTACTACACAGTAAACCTTGCAAAACACAAACTCCAAAATAACACTAATCTGTCAGTATTCAACCAAAATGTCAGATCACTTGATAAACATTTTGATAACATCAATGCGCTACTTGAAGCACTGGGCTCTAAACTATCTTTCATTATTTTAAGAGAAACATGGCTAAGTAAATACCATACCCAACTATATAACTTAGCCGGATATAAAGCCATTCATAACTGCAGGCCTGACAAAAAGGAGGTGGTACAGCTATCTATTATCAAGATAACTTCAATTACATAAGTGTTATTAGCAAGAGATAACGGCTGTGAATATACCATTGCTCAATTCTCGCATCAATTACCGAAATATGTATTGACACAACACGCAAATAAATAAAATAAATATATGAATTGAGTGAGCAGCAGTAATCTAGAGAGGGGGGATATATAGCAGTGTGCCTTGGGAGGCGGGGAAGGGGTAGAGGGAGGGGGCGATAGATGGGAGAAAGGAAGGGGTGATGCTGAAGGGCTATGGAGGAAGGGAGGGCTAAGAAACATGCCCTGCGGAACACCAGGAAAAAGTGATCAGAAATGTTGCCTCAAGCGTTTTAATTTAATCACCATTTTGTTATTGTACAAAACAAGACAATTATAATTATAGAATAATATCAATAAAACTTAAAGATGAGTAGATTCTATGACAATATCTGTTTCTACTAAATCTCGCGTCTGTGAAGGATGAATCATGAATTGGCTTCCAGAACCCGAGCCATCTGTTAAGGTCAAGCTTGGGGGACGTGTCAAGGGTCCCTTCGGCAGGCATAGTGAGCAGCGTTCGTGAGAGCAGCTGCTGCTTGGCGATCCACCGGAAGATCCGTCGATACTTCGTCTTTTCTCCGGGGGCGCTTGGAAATTGACCGTCTCCAGTGGAACGTTGAGGCTGATGGTGAAGACCTTCTCACGATCGTCACTACCTTCTGGCAGGATGTTTGTAACTGTATGCGATACAGGAGGAGTTTGAGGAGCTGTAAGAAGACCTTCGGCAGTCGCAGTACTCGCTTCGCTGATGCTGGTGACGGTCGTCGACAGTGATGATATGCTTGAGGTCCCGCCATTCACGTCTGAACTAACTTCAGATATTGAACGGTGGCGCCATCTTTGTCTTCGTTCAATTGCTACTTCGCCGATATTAGAACTATCTTCCCTTCTTTGGTCGTCGGAACCAGCTCCCGTTCCTTGGTCGTCGGAGCCAGCTACTGTTCCTTGGTCGTCGGAGCCAGCTTCCCTCCCTCGGTCGTCGGAGGCCCTGGGCGACAGAACCGACTCCTGCCAACAACAACGACAGTAAAGTATGAAAGTGAAAGAGCATCAAAATGAAGAAAGCAATTACATCACTAATCATTATTCAACGAGTTAATATGAAATGTGTATTCTTAAGCTTCATGTATTTAATGCTTTAGATCTCAGTCAAGGTATGGAATAAAATTTATTATAATAATTTAAAATGCTTATCTCTGCAAACTCACTGAACCTCCAGCAATATTCTAGACATTTGACTAAACACAATTTAAGCGAGAAATTTACAACAGAAACTTGTTTACATTTCATTACTACATCAGGAAAGTTACACAATAAAATTTATTTTGAATTTGTTGTTTCATGAACTAGTCACTTTTTTGTATGCTAATCCCGAGCTCTGTAATTTCCCTGGATCCTTATCTGATATTTAACAAGCGTCTTGAGGTGTGACTTGGATTACAATCCTCTGGAAGATTGCTTGAATTCTGACATAATAGGTTTACCTTTTCCTTGAGAGGGGGAGGGTAGCCTCACCCAACTTTACAGTGTGAGTGATGGAAGGCAGGGAACTGCCATAGGTGGGTCGGGATTGGCCCAACTGCTCCACTTTTCGAGAGATCTGCTCTTCTTACTAACCCACGAGAAGTTAGATTTTTTTCTGGGGATGGGGTGGAGGGGGATTCAGAGCGTGTTTTTACTGTTTTAATATTATGACAGATTTCCATTCTAGGGGCTCCTAGAACATGAGGCTTAATTACTAACGACCCAATTAACCTTGTCGTGCTTAACCTGCCTGGGTTGGCTCTAACCTAACCTGACTCATTATACTCACGTGAACAGCGTAGTGGTTCTGTAGGGTGTAGGCCGGGCTCTTCTCAATGGACCGTCGACGCTGTGGGGAAAGGCAGACACGAGAAATTACAGTGGTGAATACTACCATGGTTACTATTACTCCTGTGGTTATGGTTGCTGCTGCTATTGTGATCACTACTACTGTTGTCTTCACTGATGGTGACTGAGGGATATAATGGCGAGCTAAGGGGGTGAAATAGTCATAGTTTTTGATAGGGATAATTAGTTATCCGGAATTTAATTGACACGGAAAGTTGAAAGTACAAATTAGTACGGATATACATGTTGATAGGACTGGAGTCTATCTTATCCGCTCGCTGTGTACACATGAGGGCCAGGTATACCCACACAGTGTACACATGAGGGCCAGGTATACCCACACAGTGTACACATGAGGGCCAGGTATACCCACACAGTGTACACATGAGGGCCAGGTATACCCACACAGTGTACACATGAGGGCCAGGTATACCCACACAGTATACACATGAGGGCCAGGTATACCCACACAGTGTACACATGAGGGCCAGGTATACCCACAAAGTGTACACATGGGAGCCAGGTACACCCCACACAGTGTACACAGGAGGGCCAGGTATACCCACACAGTGTACACAGGAGGGCCAGGTATACCCACACAGTGTACACAGGAGGGCCAGGTACACCCACACAGTGTACACATGGGAGCCAGGAACACCCACACAGTGTACACATGAGGGGCCAGGTATACCCACACAGTGTAGACATGGGAGCCAGGTACACCCACACAGTGTACACATGAGGGCCAGGTATACCCACACAGTGTACACATGGGAGCCAGGTATACCCACACAGTGTACACATGGGAGCCAGGTATACCCACACAGTGTAGACATGGGAGCCAGGTACACCCACACAGTGTACACATGAGGGCCAGGTATACCCACACAGTGTACACATGGGAGCCAGGTATACCCACACAGTGTACACATGGGAGCCAGGTATACCCACACAGTGTAGACATGGGAGCCAGGTATACCCACACAGTGTACACATGGGAGCCAGGAACACCCACACAGTGTACACATGAGGGCCAGGTATACCCACACAGTGTAGACATGGGAGCCAGGAACACCCACACAGTGTACACATGAGGGCCAGGTATACCCACACAGTGTAGACATGGGAGCCAGGAACACCCACACAGTGTACACATGAGGGCCAGGTATACCCACACAGTGTAGACATGGGAGCCAGGTACACCCACACAGTGTACTACTCACCCCATAGCCCTGGGCTCCAGGACACAGGCCACAACACCAGGGCTCCGGTTGCCTCCAGGGCGGACTGTGGGGAGAGTGCCAATATTAATTCTCACGTACATATACAGACTTATCTATATATCAATAATGTATCTATCTGTTCTCATGAAAAAGGAAATGTTTAGCTAAACTTGTTGAGATACCAATTGCAATCAGGCTGGATGATTCTGTAGAGCGACGGTCTCGCTTCATGCAGGTCGGCGTCCAATTCCCGACTGTTCAAATAGTTGGGCACCATTCCTTTCCCCCGTCCCATCCCAAATTCTTATTCTGGCCCCTTCCTAGTGCTATATAGTCGTAATGGCTTGGCGCTTTCCCCTGATAATTTCCTCCTCTCATTGCAATCACGGAACAACATTTCATCTCCAGCAGACTGTGTCTTTCTCCACTCGGATTATTCCACTTGTCATATGGGCGAAAGCTGCACATATAACAACGCATACACATACACTATATATATAAAGGTCATTCCGGCCAATACATATATGGGTGGTCACTTGTAATGGTGAAACTTGACAGTACAGATAGTACAGACATTCACTTATTTACAACCTACTGACGAACGAGGACAGAGAGCAAACTCTACCAAACCTAAAAGCCAGTTTGCCTAAATTATAGCGATTTACGGTGAGTCTAAATCGCGAAGAGGGCCACGAAGTAATGAGAAACTTACATAATCAAGGAAGGACCCCTACGGACGAGTCTCTGGGGCCACGAAGTATAGAGACTCACTTGACAGAGGGAGGACCATGTCGAGCGCGTCTAACAGACCAAGAAATAAAGCTGGACTTACTTGACATAGCAGTTGTAAGCGACGAGGATGGAGGCAAACAAGACGATGATGACGAGGCCTATAAGCACCATCTTGTAGGTCCAGGAGGTGTCGGAGGACACACTGCCGAGAGAATAGTGCTATGTTTATGCTCTCAATAACTCATGGAGGGTTGTGGCCTCATACGTCAACAGTGAAGCAAAGAGGTACACATTAGATAAAATAGATTGCACAAATGAGATTGATCTCTTGCAACATATACCCACATAGTTGTACTCACCTAGTTGTGTTTGCGGGGGTTGAACTTCGTCTCTTTGGTCCCGCCTTTCAACTGTCAATCAACTAGTCCCCAGATTTCTGAGCCTATTGGGCTCTACCAAATCTATATTTGAAACTGTGTATGGAGTCAGCCTCCACCACATCACTGCCTAATGCATTCCATTTGTCAACTACTCTGACACTAACAAAGTCTTTCTAATGTCTCTGTGGCTCATTTGCGTACTCAGTTTCCACCTGTGTCCCCTTGTTCGTGTTCCGTCCATGCTAAATAATTTGTCTTTGTCCAACCTGTCAATTCCTCTGAGAATTTTGTAGTTTTGTAGGCGTGATAGTGTTTCTTCTGTCTTCCAGGGACGTGAGATTTAATTCCCGTAGTCTTTCCTCATAACTCGTAACTCAAAAATTAGACAAGAAAGAGAGGAGTAGGCAGACTGCATATTTTTGGATTGCCAGAAAGCCTTTGGCATAGTACCTTATAAGAGACTAGCGCATAAGTTTGAGATGCAGGCAGGAATAACAAGGAAGGTACTCCAGTGGATAAGGGAGTACCTTAACAACAGAAAACAGAGTCATTGTAAGAGGTGAGGTCTGAGAGTGGCGAGACGTCACTAGTGGAGTCCCCACAGGGTTCAGTCCTTGGACCCAACCTGTTTCTGATATATGTAATGTAAAAACAATCTCCCAGAGGGAATAGACTCGTTCCTCTTAAAGTTTGCTGAGGATGCGACAAATTATAAGGAAGATTAAGACAGGAAGATAGCAAGAGGCTACAAAAGGACCTTGGGAAATTAAAGGAATGGGCCAACAAATGGCTACTAGAGTTTAACTCAAGTAAATGAAACGTGATGAAGCTAGATGGAGGGAGTAGAAGGCCGGACACAAGATACCATATGGAAGACGAAGTTCTCCACGAAACAGAATGAAGGTTCTAGGAGTTGATATCACACCGGACCCATCTCCCGGAGCCCGCATAAAATGGATATCATCAACGGCGTATACAAGGCTGGCTAACATCAGAACTGCCTTTAGAAATTTATGTAAGGAAATCATTTAGAACCTTGTACATCAAGGTAAGATCAATCCTGTAGCATGCGGCTCCAGCATGGAGTCCATACCTTGGCCAGCATACGACGAGACGGGAGAAGATTCAAAGGTATGCCACTAAACTAGTTCCTGAACATCGAAGTATGAGTTAAGAGGAAAGATTGCATGAATTGCACCTCACGTCGCTGGAAGACAGAAGTGTTAGGGGAGATATGATTACCACATACAAAATTCTCAGGGGAATTTACAGGGTAGACAAAGATAGATTATTTAATTCGGGGTGGTACTTGCACAAGAAGACACAGGTAGAAAGTGACTACCCAAATGAGTTACAGAGACATTAACATTTTAGTTAATGTTTAGAAACATTAGTTTTAAATGTAAATATACAGAGCCCAGTACGATCAGGAATCTATACACGAATTCACTGAGAGTTGAGAGGCGGGACTAAAGAGCTGAAGCTCACCCCCCTCCCCCCCGCCTCCCAACTCTCAGCGAACACGTGTACAGATTCCTGATCTTATTAGGCTCTATCATATCTACATTTGAAACTGTTACAGGAGATAACAGAAACAGTATTTCCCCTGATAGTTTCCTTCCCTTCAACACCACGCCCCCCAAGCACAATTAAGTTAACACACACACACACACACACACACACACACACACACACACACACACACACACACACACACACACACACACACACACACACACACACACACACACACTAGGTGAGTACACAGGGCTTGGTAGCCTGGTGGATAGCGCGCAGGACTCGTAATTCTGTGGCGCGGGTTCGATTCCCGCACCAGGCAGAAACAAATGGGCAAAGTTTCTTTCACCCTGAATGCCCCTGTTATCTAAGAGTTAGTCAGCTGTCACGGGCTGCTTCTTGGTGTGTGTGTGTGTGTGTGTGTGTGTGTGTGTGTGTGTGTGTGTGTGTGTGTGTGTGTGTGTGTGTGTGTGTGTGTGTGTGGTTTGAAAAAAAAGTAGTTAGTAAACAGTTGATTGACAGTTGAGAGGCGGGCCGAAAGAGCAAAGCTCAACCCCTGCAAACACAACTAGGTCAACACACACACACACACACACACACACACACACACACACACACACATCGTGTGTGTGTGTGTGTTGTTGGTTGACAGTTGATTGACAGTTGAGAGGCGGGCCGAAAGAGCAAAGCTCAACCCCCGTAAAAACACAACTAGTAAACACACACACACACACACACAGGGAGCGCAGGGAGAGTCAAGCAGAAGAGAGTCAGTTTCAGGGTGATGTACTCGAACATAGATGGGATCACAAGCAAGACAAGTGAACTAAGGGAAAGAGCACAAGAAGTTAACCCAGATGTAATCGGACTCACTGAAACAAAACTCTCTGGAATCATAACGAATGCCGTGTTTCCCCAGGAGTATACAGTAATAAGGAAAGAGAGGGAAGGTAGGGGAGGAGGCAGAGTGGCCCTACTCATGAGAAGGGAATGGAGTTTTAAGGAGATGGCCATCCCGGGCAGTGAGGAGTTCAGAGACTACATAGCAGGCACCATAACAATGGGAGGACCAAGAATAGTAGTAGCAGTAATATACAACCCTCCACCAAATGACAGGAGACCCAGTCAAGAGTATGAAAATAACAACAAGGCAGTTAACACTATAATTGAGAGGGCAGCCTCTGCTGCCTGTAGAAATAGATCCCACCTGCTCATCATGGGCGACTTCAATCACGGAAAGATTGACTGGGAGAATAAGGAACCGCATGGAGGCGAGGATACATGGAGAGCCAAACTATTGGAGGTGGTGACAAGCAACTTTTTAACCCAGCATGTCGGAGAACCCACAAGGATGAGAGGCAATGACGAACCAGCGAGACTCGACCTAGTCTTCACTCTGAACGACTCCGACATAAGAGAAATCGGTTTTGAGGACCCAGTAGGAATGAGCGACCACAGTGTACTGGTGTTTGAGTACTTGATTGAAGAAGGGTTATTGAACTCGAGGAGGGATACAGAAACCAAAAGGTTAGCATACCGAAAGGGAAACTATGAGGGGATAAGAAAATTCCTAACAGATATAGCATGGGAAACAGAGCTCAGGGGAAAGACGGCCCAAGATATGATGGATTACACCACGCAGAAGTGCAAGGACGCAGCAAACAAGTTTGTCCCAGTCCAAAAGGAAAACAGAGAAATGAAGATGAGAAACCCATGGTTTAATCAAAGATGTAGGCTAGCTAAGCAACAAAGTAAAAGGGCATGGAGAAACTATAGGAATAACAGGACACTGGAGAGCAGAGAAAGATACCAGAATGCCAGGAATGAATATGTCAGGATGAGAAGAGAGGCAGAAAGACAATACGAAAATGACATCGCAAGCAAGGCAAAGACTCAGCCTAAATTGTTGCATAGCCACATTAGGAGAAAAACAACAGTAAAGGAAAGGAACAGGTTATGAGATTAAGGATAGGGGCGGAAGGATTCACTACAAATGACAAGGAAGTGTGTGAGGAATTGAATAAGAAATTCCAGGAGGTCTTCACCTTAGAGCAAGGAGAAATTCCAGAGGTAAGTGAGGGAATAGCTAACCAGGAACCACTGGAAGAGTTTGAGATTACCAGTGGGGAAGTAAGGAAGTGTTTACTAGAGTTGGACGTGACGAAGGCTATAGGCCCAGATGGAATCTCCCCTTGGGTTCTAAAGGAAGGAGCAAGAGAACTGAGCCTACCACTCTCCATAGTGTATAACAAATCACTGGCAACAGGGGAACTGCCAGATATTTGGAAAGCAGCTAACGTAGTCCCGATATACAAGAAAGGGGATAGACAGGAGGCACTGAACTACAGGCCAGTGTCCCTAACCTGCATACCATGCAAGCTGATGGAGAAGATTGTGCGAAAAAAACTAGTGGAGCATCTGGAGCGAAGGAACTTTGTAACACAGCATCAACATGGGTTCAGGGATGGCAGGTCCTGCCTCACAGGGTTACTTGAATTCTACGACCAGGCAACAAAAATAAGGCAAGAAAGAGAAGGGTGGGCAGACTGCATATTTTTGGATTGTCAGAAAGCCTTTGATACAGTGCCACACAAGAGGCTAGTGCGAAAGTTGGAGATGCAGGCTGGAGTGAGAGGGAAGGTACTCCGGTGGATAGAGGAGTACCTAAGCAACAGGAGACAACGAGTCTGTGTGAGGGGTGAGGTCTCAGATTGGCGAGACGTCACAAGTGGAGTCCCGCAGGGGTCAGTCCTTGGACCTATACTGTTTCTGGTATATGTAAATGATCTCCCAGAGGGTATAGATTCGTTCCTCTCAATGTTTGCCGACGATGCAAAAATTATGAGGAGGATTGAAACAGAGGATGATAGTAGGAGGCTACAAGATGACCTGGATAGACTGAGTGAATGGTCCAACAAATGGCTGTTGAAGTTCAACCCGAGTAAATGCAAAGTAATGAAACTAGGCAGTGGAAACAGGAGGCCAGGCACAGGATACAGAATAGGAGATGAAGTACTTAATGAAACAGACAGAGAGAAAGATCTAGGAGTTGATATCACACCAAACCTGTCTCCTGAAGCCCACATAAAGAGAATAACGTCTGCGGCATATGCGAGGCTGGCTAACATCAGAACGGCGTTCAGGAACCTGTGTAAGGAATCATTCAGAATCTTGTACACCACATATGTAAGACCAATCCTGGAGTATGCGGCCCCAGCATGGAGCCCGTACCTTGTCAAGCACAAGACGAAGCTGGAAAAAGTCCAAAGGTATGCTACTAGACTAGTCCCAGAACTAAGAGGCATGAGTTATGAGGAAAGGCTGCGGGAAATGCACCTTACGACACTGGAAGACAGAAGAGTAAGGGGGGACATGATCACAACCTACAAAATCCTCAGGGGAATCGACCGGGTAAACAAGGATGAACTATTCAACACTGGTGGGACGCGAACAAGGGGACACAGGTGGAAGCTGAGTACCCAAATGAGCCACAGAGACGTTAGAAAGAACTTTTTCAGTGTCAGAGTAGTTAGTAAATGGAATGCATTAGGAAGTGATGTGGTGGAGGCTGACTCCATACACATTTTCAAATGTAGATATGATAGAGCCCAATAGGCTCAGGAATCTGTACACCAGTTGATTGACGGTTGAGAGGCGGGACCAAAGAGCCAGAGCTCAACCCCCGCAAGCACAATTAGGTGAGTACACACACACACACACACACACACACACACACACACACACACACACACACACACACACACACACACACACACACACACACACACACACACACACACACACACACACACACACACACACATATGACACACATAACAAGAAAACTTACCACACATTGTTGTCATTCTCGCCCCGAGGACAGTGGCAGTAGTTGTCGCTCCAACACACGCCGGGCCAGTCACAGGCGATGGAGGCGTTGCACCAGGACCCCAGAATACCTGTCAATCACCACAACACCTGTCAATCACCACAACACCTGTCAATCACCATCAGCTCACTCTTTCACTACTGCCAATTACTACTACACAACTCTTTTTCAACACGCCTCACAGGCCGGTGTCAAACACTCCCCATCCAGGATACTTTACCTCGACACTGAGGGACGTACCGTGACCTTCTCTGACCCCCGTGACCTTCTCTGACCCCCATGACCTTCATAAACAGTGGAGGCCACCGACTCTTCGCCCTCATTATTATCCTATTTTTTATTATTTTAATCATTCACTATATATTGATTTATCTAAAGTTTAGACCTTCATTTAAGCTTATGTTATCGTCCAACACAACCTTATGTATTCATCAACCCCCTATTCCTTGATGAACAGGCATACAATATAATACAACAGTTGTAGGCATAGACTCTAGAGGTTAGTAGGCCTCCAGCCCACCACCAAGCTAGAGGACGGTAGGCCTCCAGCCCACCACCAAGCTAGAGGACGGTAGGCCTCCAGCCCACCACCAAGCTAGAGGACGGTAGGCCTCCAGCCCACCACCAAGCTAGAGGACGGTAGGCCTCCAGCCCACCACCAAGCTAGAGGACGGTAGGCCTCCAGCCCACCACCAAGCTAGAGGACAGTAGGCCTCCAGCCCACCACCAAGCTAGAGGACGGTAGGCCTCCAGCCCACCACCAAGCTAGAGGACGGTAGGCCTCCAGCCCACCACCAAGCCAGAGGACGGTAGGCCTCCAGCCCACCACCAAGCCAGAGGACGGTAGGCCTCCAGCACACCACCAAGCCAGAGGACGGTAGGCCTCCAGCCCACCACCAAGCCAGAGGACGGTAGGCCTCCAGCTCACCACCAAGCCAGAGGACGGTAGGCCTCCAGCCCACCACCAAGCTAGAGGACGGTAGACCTCCAGCCCACCACCAAGCCAGAGGACGGTAGGCCTCCAGACCACCACCAAGCCAGAGGACGGTAGACCTCCAGCCCACCACCAAGCCAGAGGACGGTAGGCCTCCAGCCCACCACCAAGCCAGAGGACGGTAGGCCTCCAGCCCACCACCAAGCCAGAGGACGGTAGGCCTCCAGCCCATCACCAAGCCAGAGGACGGTAGGCCTCCAGCCCACCACCAAGCTAGAGGACGGTAGACCTCCAGCCCACCACCAAGCCAGAGGACGGTAGGCCTCCAGACCACCACCAAGCCAGAGGACGGTAGGCCTCCAGACCACCACCAAGCCAGAGGACAGTAGGCCTCCAGCCCACCACCAAGCTAGAGGACGGTAGACCTCCAGCCCACCACCAAGCCAGAGGACGGTAGGCCTCCAGACCACCACCAAGCCAGAGGACGGTAGACCTCCAGCCCACCACCAAGCCAGAGGACAGTAGGCCTCCAGCCCACCACTAAGCTAGAGGACGGTAGACCTCCAGCCCACCACCAAGCCAGAGGACAGTAGGCCTCCAGCCCACCACCAAGCCAGAGGACGGTAGGCCTCCAGACCACCACTAAGCTAGACCGTTAAGCACCTCTGGGCGACGACTTACCGCAGGTGTCGCAGTTGAAGACATACTTGGCGGAGAAGGCGGTAGTGACCTCGTAGTGGTAGACCCAGCAGAAGGGCGGGGAGCACGTGCACTGCCCCTGGCGGCACTCCAGCAGCGGGTCCGTGTACTGCCAGCAGTCCTGGTCTCTCTCACACGGCAGCGGGGGCAGCTTTACTCCTGCAGGAGGAGGGAAGGGTCAGGTGGTGAGTCAGTACCGGTAGCGTGTCTCGCTCTCTTTAATTCTCGCATATTTTGGAATCAGTCGTTCTTGTAGGTGTGTGTTATTGGATATGACCGCAAGGGTTAGATTTGTGATTCTAGCACGAATTGCTTCTGTGTATCTTACTAGATGCGTCCATGTCTCTCCTTCCTCTCTCTCATCCTCTCTCATCTCCTATTCCCTCGTATCATCTCTCTTCCCCTATTCCTCTTCTCTTCTCTGTTCCCAATCTCTTCCCATTTCATAATTTTTCTCCTTCCTCTTCCCCACCTACCCATCCCCCTTTCTACTCCCTCCTCTCCTATCTTTCCCTCTCCAAATCTCAACTCTTGCCTCCTTATCTCTCCATTTTTTCCTCTTTCCTTCCCTCTGACCTGGGCCTGACAGCTGAGTGGACAGCGCTTGGGATTCGTAGTCCTAAGGTTCCGGGTTCGATCCCCGGTGGAGGAGGAAACAAATGGACAGAGTTCCTTTCACCCTGATGCACCTGTTCACCTAGCAGTAAATAGGTACCTGGGAGTTAGACAGCTGCTACGGGCTGCTTCCTGGGGGGGTGTAACAAAAAGGAGACCTGGTCGAGGACCGGGCCGCGGGGACGCTAAGTCCCGAAATCATCTCAAGATAACCTCTCTCCCTTCTCCCTATTCCACTATACCCCTCTCCCTTCTCTCTTTCTCTCTGAAAATGTAATGTTACAAAGCACTGAAACTGTTAAATATCCCCTACGGAAAACACAACCTCTAAACATACCGATGTTACTCCCATGCCTGGTGCTTCGGAGCTCATGAACTGTTTAATAGTTGTAAACAAAGCCGTCAAAGATTGAGAAAAGATGGACAAGGGCCAGATTTACGAAGCAGTTACGCAAGCACTTACGAACCTGTCCATCTTTTCTCAATCTTCGGCGGCTTTGTTTACAATTATTAAACAGTTTATGAGCTTATTATTAAACAGTTTATGAGCTTCCTCAATCTTTCCTCAAAGATTGAGGAAAGATGTACACGTTCGTAAGTACTTGCGTAACTGCTTCATGACTCTGGCCGCAGGTTGGTCTGAGCTGCCACAGGTCGCTGGCCGCAAGATTATACACACCGAGTTGGTCTTTATACAATTTGTTATTATTCATTTCTACCACAGACGTGGCCACACATTTACCATGCTAACCAGCATATATATACAGTGACAGCTAGTTGGTGAGTAGGCCGGTCAGTATAGGCTGGTAGAGGCCTGAGACCCGTCAACACCACCACCATGATATCAAAACATGATATCTATTGGTGACACACAGCACTGCTACAGGAGGTGTACCGTTCAGTGATACTTGTGTCATTTTGGTGTTTTTTTATTGTTTTTTCTCTTTCTACACCTGGTGTTGCTTGATTGTTACCTGCTCGCTGCGTCTGGTGTTCCTGGAATATTAATTGCTCCAGGTGTTCCTGGATTGTTACCTGCTCCAGGTGTTCCTGGACTGCTACCTGCTCCAGGTGTTCCTGGACTGCTACCTCCTCCAGGTGTTCCTGGTATGCTACCTGCTCCAGGTGTTTCTGGATTGTTACCTGCTGCAGGTGTTCCTGGACTGCTACCTGCTGCAGGTGTTCCTGGACTGCTACCTCCTCCAGGTGTTCCTGGACTGCTACCTGCTCCAGGTGTTCCTGGACTGCTACCTGCTCCAGGTGTTCCTGGACTGCTACCTGCTCCAGGTGTTCCTGGACTGCTACCTGCTCCAGGTGTTTCTGGATTGTTACCTGCTGCAGGTGTTCCTGGACTGCTACCTGCTGCAGGTGTTCCTGGACTGCTACCTCCTCCAGGTGTTCCTGGACTGCTACCTGCTCCAGGTGTTCCTGGACTGCTACCTGCTCCAGGTGTTCCTGGACTGCTACCTGCTCCAGGTGTTCCTGGACTGCTACCTGCTCCAGGTGTTTCTGGATTGTTACCTGCTGCAGGTGTTCCTGGACTGCTACCTGCTGCAGGTGTTCCTGGACTGCTACCTCCTCCAGGTGTTCCTGGACTGCTACCTGCTCTAGGTGTTCCTGGACTGCTACCTGCTCCAGGTGTTCCTGGACTGCTACCTGCTCCAGGTGTTCCTGGACTGCTACCTGCTCCCTACGCCTGGTATCGACGCGCCGCTCTGGCGTAACCAGTTGCAAAACTTAATTAAATTCTTTTGGCGTCTCTAGGACGTGACGATGACGCAATTGTTGACATTATTTATTTATTTATTAGATTTTAAAGCACTTTACTGTAAGTCCGGTGATAGAGGTACAAGTTGTCCAACTCGTACCTTGTACTCCCAGGTACAACGTCCTGAGAGTCCCAGTAGAGGGAGGGGGTTATAACAGAGCAGGCACCAATAGAGGGGGGAGGGGATGGTACTGTGATCCTGTAGAATGTTGAGTGGTAAAAAAAAATTCACATCGCCAGGAGCTACTGACGACGGCAGACGCCAGGTTGGGGCGGCTATCAGACCCCCAACAGTCACTGATTATCACACTAAGTGGGACGGCCGCAACAACAATGAGACCAATAGGAGAACAACACCACCGCGATATCGAGTGATAGAGCGAAAATGTGCTTCGCAGTTTTATCAGAAGACTGAATTACTTAATTGCAAGTGTTACTAGTAAGAGTATTTATACATAATTGCTGGCATATCAAAGCCTCATGCTGTAGCAGACTAGTAGGAGACATAACAGCCTGTAGCAAACTAGTAGTAGAAATTTGTAGGTATTTCATTATCATTGACACGTTATCAATGACAAAAATGAATACTGAGACGCATGTCCGATTAAAATCTTACTGACCTAAATATTTCACAAACATCTGATAAGTGTAGGATTAAACATTAATTATCATGAGAAGTAAAATGAATGAATTAGTAACAATAATAATGAAGTTGATCAATAAATCAACTCCTGTAATCAGACTTGACAAAGTTCGTCACTGACAACATTCCAAGGAGCTGTGGAGAGGATTCGAACTTGTGCGCACTCGTGCGAGGATTGGAAATTCCCAGGCACACACCCCAGACAATGAGGCGTGGCCTGAATATGCATGGCACGACACTGATTGTTATTAATAATACTATTATTATTACAATTATTATTATTATAAATACTATTATATTATCATTATAATATTATTATTGTTACTATTATTCTTATTCTAATCATTTTCATTATTTTATTATTATTATTATTATTATTATTATTATTATTATTATTATTATTATTATTATTATTATTATTATTATTATTATTATTATTATTATTATTTTATTTTTTCCTATTTAATATTGTTATTAAAATACAGGTATTACATTTGATTATTATTATTCTTTATACCTCATTATCATAGTTAATAATATTATCACTGCAGTTATCTATATGATCATTATATTATTTTTTTTATTTTCAAAGATATTTCTAGATCTAAATTAGAATTTTTTATATAAGTTATCGTTCACAGTATTTTCTTGTGTTTAGTTACCCTTCGAATGTTTCACTGTTGAGGGATTGTTTGGGTATGGTGAATCTGGGTCATCACTGTTAGTTTAGGCTATGGTGAATCCAGGAGCATCAGTCATTGGTTAGGCTATGGTGAATCTAGGAGCATTACTGTCATTGGTTAGGCTATGGTGAATCTAGGAGCATTACTGTCATTGTTTAGTTTAGGCTATGGTGAATCTAGGAGCATCACTGGCATTGTTTAATTTAGGCTATGGTGAATCTAGGAGCATTACTGTCATTGTTTAGTTTAGGTTATGGTGAATCTAGCAGCATCACTGTCATTGGTTAGTTTAGGCTATGGTGAATCTAGCAGCATCACTGTCATTGGTTAGTTTAGGCTATGGTGAATCTAGGAGCGTCACTATCATTGTTAGTTTAGGCTACAGTGAATTTAGGCTACAGAGACATAATAATTAAATAAAAAGTAAAGCACGTTGCGACGCATCATTGACAGCTAAATGCACTCCTTATTACGTACTATTGTTGACCTTGTCAGTGGAGCTTGCGGTGTCAAAATTTCTGGTGATTACTGTGTACATTTTGTGTATGAAATTGTATGTGATTTATACTGTATACTTTAGGTACGAAAGACATAAAGGATTTGCCGTAAATTGTACTTTGTGTGATTAAAGACGTATATGATATGTTTTATAATTTGTTTACGAAAGACTCGCGGAATTTACCTTGCATGGATTTCGGTTTGTTGGTGCCGCTGTTGTTGGCGCTGGTCGTCAAGTTTCGCTGAGGATCCCAGAGAAAATCCCTGGGTGTGAAGCGAGGCGGTAGGAAATAGGAGAGAGGAGGAGCCCTGGTGGGCACGTGGACCTCCTGCATCACAGGCTGCGGGATGATGGGCTTCTGCGTGGAGGTGTTCCGGAGAGGTCCTCCTGCCGCCGCCGCCCTTGCAACACCAGCAGCTGCTAGACCAAGTACCAGCAGCCCTAGTGTTGTCCCCGCCATGATGGATTGCCTACCGTTATAACCTTGGAGGTTCTGTCTCTCGTAGGAGCATCCTACAGGAAGGAGGGAGGAGTTTCTGTTGCCCCCCTCAAAGATTATGTCACTAAAACAGAGACACGGTGATCTTGGCAGCGCACAATATTGGCAAGAGTTGTAGCAGCGACTTGCAACCAACCTTCACTATGGCGACGAAACCATCACTGCATTGTTATCTATGATGGCGTAACTTCGTGGAACATCACATTTTTAAACTTCATTTATATTAGATTTTTTAATATTTAGCGTTGTAATTGGTTATAGTTTAAAGTAGCTTTAACTTTCGAACAATTAGAATTTGCACCTTGAAGCCTCAGTCACTTGAGCAAGCTACGTTCCGGAAAATATCGATAAGCACGTCAGGTTTAACCAGGCGAGCTCACTGTGAGTGTATCAGGGTGTGTGTTGGAACTACACGGTGTCCGGAGGTGATAAGGAGGAGGCGCAGGTGATTGCGGAGTGGCGATATGTACCACGGGTTACTAATGATAAGCTAGTCCCATATATGCCTGGCGCTTCACAGCTCGTCATCTGGTTTACGATGTGGACACCTAGCAAATACTGGCCGGAACTGGGCGCCGGTCTGGGAGAGGCTCGAGAAGTGTACCGGAATAATCAGAGCGTCTGACAAGAACGCGGAAACGCGCGAAAGGCTCTCCCACTCATTAATGCCGAGAGTCTGGCAAAGAACTCAAGGTAATAAATTTGCAGGTGGAGATTATCACGGCTGAGCTTTGATACTTTAGACGGAGGAGAATATCCCACAGACTGTTGATACCGCCATTATTTCTGCAGACGAAAGAGACTTATCATACCAGACTATTGATACCGGACGGAAGTCTTATCACACCAGGCCATTGAAACTGCAAACAGAAGAGACAGTCATACCAGACAGGTATTGGAAATATTAGAGCACCAATAAGTTAATGCTGGGAAACGGGGAAAGCATTCCCACGCGAATCCATTAGTGATGCATAGAATGGAACTATCACGAGAAAGCGCCAAGCCATTACTACTATATAGCACTTGGAAGGGATTAGGATAAGGATTTGGGATGGGGCGGGGGAAAGGAATGATCCCCAACCACTTGGACGGTGGGGGACTGACTGTACGCCCAAACCAAAGCGACGGTCTGGGCTGGATGTGTATATACCCCATCCCCAGAGATGAAGAGGGGATATACACCCTCACTGTGTGACTGGGAAGTTATTTAATACCTGGCCGCCCGCACTGTAGTGTGTGCGGGTGTGACCGATGGCGAGCGTGTCCTCCCCGACAGGCAGCTCATGAATACTCACGTCTCATTCGGAGCTAGTCTGAGGGTGTATTGTGGCCAATATTTCTACCGTACCTTTAGTTTCACGTTGCTAATTGTGTTTTTTCCTCGAATATAAGATTCGTATTCATCGTCACAGTCCGCCTAAAGCACTTGCTGAGGTGATTTAAATCACGTTCGTGTTTTTCTACAATGTAGGAATAAGTTAATAAACTTTACAGCAAGCCTTGACATGAATTATTGAATCCATTCATTTGATTCAAAAATCAAAATAAAAATAAATAATAAATATGTTTATTATTTAAATATGGTTTATGGTAAATATGGTTTGATTATTTAAATATGGTTTACATTATCGTACATATGTGATAAATTTTATAGAATGAGTTACTTGGAAAATTACAATTAATTCATCAGCGAGATTTACAAAAGAGGTAATATTTCATTCTTTCACGGATATTAGAAGATAGTCTCGGCCTCTCACATTGGGGGTGTAGGAACATGATAATGTTGATGCCCTTGCTAAGCTTGCAATAAATAAAGACAATGTTGAGCATAATCTGGGCTATCAAATAAAACCCACCTGTGTAAAAAAAAATACCTTTAAACGAGAACCTTTTTATGAGTTTGAGGAAAGTAGGTGTAAACAGGAACTGTCAGATTCACTGAGAAAATCAGTTGGAACAATGTGGTGACTGGAGCCAGCGAGCTGGGTACTCCCAGCCTAGCACCTTACTCCAATTGATTTTCTCATTGATCTATATGACGTTAGTGTGAGTTCTTTGTGGCTTGGCATATCCGCTGTTTATCACAATGAAATACGTCAACAAAACAATCTGACACGTGATAAAATCAGTAGATTGACTGACCTACATGGATGATGTACTGCAAGCAGTTTGTAATAGGCTGTCATTAAAATTATAAGGTGTGCAGATTAGATGTAATTGTTATTGTAAAAGCTCTCGTTGAGGTCTGAATAAGACCTTTTGTGCCCTTTGTAATATATTTTGTACTACAGCTCACAAGATGAGTATGTGGGGAGTCCCCAATAAACTAGGCACCTCCGTCGGCAACAATAAAAAATCTATTAGATGTTAGAAGTTTGCAAGTGCAAGCTAGTATACACCAGACTCGCATCTCATGTGTGTGACTAACCATCTTGTGAAATTGGGATAATTGGTGACCACGGGCTCTTGATCTGCATGCTTAAGAAATGGTTTCCTCGCAATCCCCACGGGCGAAGATACCGACATGCTGCCGTAGACACTGTCAAAGCAACCCATCATCCTGTTTAGATAGTAATTTTTGTAACTATGTGCACCATAGTACAAATATTGACGTACTAAGCAATTAGACAGTAGAACTTTGTACTATTCACTTTATAGTCCGAAAAAATGAACCTAAAAAACAAACTTAAATATTCATAGGACTGGTTTAGCACACATATGTATTATATTAGGCCTCAGACATCGTGTATTATGCCTAGGGATGTTAGGTTAGTTTAGTTTGTTAAAGCAACACAGGAAAAAAATAGTTTTCCGGTTTGTTTAACTCAATAGTTCAGATTACTACTTTCTAATTTCACTGTACGTCGGTATATATACTATGGTCCTGATCTTAGCTATAAGTAACTACCAAAACAGGAGGATGAGCTGAAATAGAGAGCTACTGTAAATCATAGCAGCTCACAAACATTCATGTTTCTAGGCTGGTCGATAGGTTGGGTTAGGTTCGAGCGTTTTAGTACACCATTTTTTTGTCTGTTGTGACAACTAAGGAAGACGGACTGATATTTATTTATATATATACAAAAAATTACATTGGGTTTATGAGAGTACATAGAATGTTGTGTTTAGTACACATATATATATTAGTACACCACCTACCCTCAAGTTGTATGTCTTCAGAACAACATCATATTTGAAATATGATCTGATGTTAATATGATACATTATTTCTTCATGCCGATTTTTTTTTTGTTCTAAAACTAAATTTTCCATTTAGGCGAAGACGTGGATATGCAACCCGTTCTCGTACTTTCGTATAGTCAATATTGACTTATTAAATACGTGCATATGTGACATACTAATGTATTGTGAATATTTTAGTTTACCTTGAAAAGCTTCATAGAAAACACCGACCTTACCTAACCTTCTTAGTATGATAAGATACGCATCTTATTGCTTCGTAATTACAATTATTATTTAACCTATACCTATAATAGGTTAAGTAATTGTAATTACGAAGCAATAAGATGCTTATCTTAACATACTAAGAAGGTTAGGTAAGGTCGGTGTTTTCTATGAAGCTTTTCAAGGTAAACTAAAATATTCACAATAAATTAGTATTTCACATATGCACTTATTTTATAAGTCAATATTGACTGTAAGAAAGTGCGAGAACGGGTTGCGATATGAGACGGACAAGGAGGTCACGACGGAGATTGAGGCAACGAAATCATTATGATGTACACCTAGGGCATTACCCCTATTCACAGCCTAGGTTACACAAATAACAGTTAACATTTTACATTATCATCCTCTATAAAAGCTGAGACAATCAGTAGTAAACAAAAAACTGAACCAGATGATACAGCTTCTTGAGATATAATGACATGTCATAATTGTCTTTCAAATTCATTATGGCCTTCTTAGAGTTAGCACGAGAACGCTTTGAGGCTGTAGCCTAATCCATCATGCTTCTTTTTATAAATTTCACGGGAATTACTTTTTAAACTAAGTTATTTTAATTTAGGATAATAAGTACTGCGCTTAAAAATGTCCATAGTTCGTGTGGAAGTATAAAAAGTGAGGCGGTGTACTCGGTGTAATATCTTCCAGATATACGATTGTCAAGGTTGCGTCTATGATCAATAAGATCAAAAATCTGTTCCAGAATTAAAACTATTTCGTTATAGTGACGTCACACCTTACCAGTATGTTTCCCAATGCTTCTGTTCACTTAGCGGTAAACTGGTACTCAGGTGTTAGTCAGCTGATGGTGTTGCATTCTAGGAAGGGTCAGTAGTTCAACCTCAGGGAAGACTTCGATATAAACCTAACATTATTATATAGGGCGTTTTTTGCCCATGTTTTTCTCAGGTCTTATGAGCCTACTCTTACTTTTATAGAGCCTTAGATAACATAACCCCTTTCCACCGCCGATAACAACAATGATGGAGCCCTGTCGTGTTATCTAATCTCTGATACTGAATGCCAGTCATCAGCGGCAAATATACGAGAGTGCCATTTGTATCTACAGCATTAAATTAATTAATCTTCCCATATTTCTTCTTAAATGCCTCTTCATTCAAAGACAGAAATCTAATGTCATCCATTGTATAAACGCAACAGTTTGGTCTTCGCAAGTTACTGTCCGGTGGTGGTACTGAATAGGATACAGGAAGGAGGGTATCAGTCACATTTGGCAACACTGCTACAGCGGTGAGAGTAGCCTACCTCGCATGTGTGGCAGTAATGATTATGGCCGGCACTTGGTGTCGTGGTGTTTTAGTGCCATGGGCGTGTAAAGCAAGAGTTGCCGCAGTCTTTAAACGGTGCCAAGTGCCTCACGAGTGTTGCTCTTGATTCTGAACTAGTCATAGTGATCTAAAGCCAGCCTATTGCCAACTACCTTCTAAAACTGGCTTTTTAAGTCTGGTATACTCCAGTATTGTCCCCTCTCAGGCTCTAACTTGACACTGGTGACCTTGTGAAATTGATGTCTTATCTCAGGTATATCGTTGACCCTAAACAGTCAGTCTTTCGTGACCTCATATAATCAACTTTTAATTTAGTTAACTAGTTAGCTATACCCGGAGAATAAGGCTAATAGTATCTTCTTTTGTTTTAGAAAGTCTTGAAGTCACGCTAATGACTAGTTGAAGCAGAGCTTTGAGTGACTCCGAAGCCACGTCAGAGATAAAGATGGGGCTCCTGAGCTCAGCAGGGCTTCTCAGCACGTCAGCCTCAGGAAGAGTTGGACTAGGGTCTCCATATATACCCTATTTCCTCCTCCTGGTGGTGGTGCTGCTGCTGCCCGTCGGCGGCGTGGAAGGTTAGTGCTGGAAACGACAAGGAAAGGCAAATCGCCCATTTCTATGTTTAAGTATGGGTGTGTGTGCGCGCGCGCGTGTGTGTGTGTGTACTCACCTATTTGTGCTTGCAGGATCGAGCATTGGCTCTTGGATCCCGCCTTTCCAGACACACACAGTTGTGTGTGTGTGTGTGTGTGTGTATTTACTATTTGTGCCTGCAGATTCGAGCTATTAGTTCTTGGACCCTGCCAAGTATCCGAGCAAGGAAAACATTCATATATACAAGTTTATACGAATATGTTGAAGGCTAATAATAATAATAATAATAATAATAATAATAATAATAATTATAATTATAATTATAAGAAGAAGAAGAAGAAGAAGAAGAAAATTAGAAGAAATCATGAAGAGGATTCGAACCTGCACACTGGAGACTCCCAAGCACACGCACTAAAGCACTAGACCACAATATGCTTCAGAAATAATGTAACCTGGGATTCAATTGAATCCTCTAGGTATCCTGAGGCATCTTATGATCCTAAATCAGGGTTAACACATTTCCCGCATATATATATAAGCTGTGGTGAAGGAGTTCTACCCCAACCCCAATCTTGACAATGGGGAAACGAGCTTTGTCCCCTAATAAGTTAAACTGTGACTTAATAGCAGCGTGATAAGCCAAATATAATTATGTAATACGAAACGTGAGTTTACAAGAGTTCAATGTATATAAAACACGAAGAGCATTGTAATGCAGTACAAATCACTGAATCCAATGTAATCAATTTATCTAGCCTAAAACATATATGTACAAAATTGATTAAAAAAAATACAACATATAGAATCCGTGTGATCATCAACAACTTACGAGTGGAGTTGTGAGTATTGTACTCATCGAGGCGAGTATACATACATCAATACAGTATATACATAGCTTGAGGACGGGTTGGTATGTGTCTAAGATGGGTGTACCGTGTATGTATGATGTTTCACATGTGTATGCACGGTCCATTACACATGAGAGTATATATGTGTGCGCACGGAGGTTTTATGAGACGTATGTCTATCTATATGTCTCTCTCCCCAACACGACAAACATTTCTCTCATAGAGTGTGCTTCCCACACACGTCACATCCTCCTCTCTCCCACAGACATTGCCATCTCATTGCCCTTCCCACACCCGTCATAGATTTCTATCTCCTACAGGACAAACCGTCCCAGAGGTCCAGTGTGGGAGAGACAGCGATTGTCAGGGGACGATGTGGACGACGCCCCTGCCGGAGTGCGTGTCGAATCGTTGTCGTTGTCCAGAGGGTACCTGTGTCGTCTTCTCTCTGACCAGCAGCGGCGACAACGCCTATTACTGCGGCGAATGTGGTGAGTGGCGTTCCACCCGTCGTTCATCTCTCTGTTGTCTCTTTATCTCTCTCTGTTGTATATCTCTCAGTCTCTCTCTCTCTCTCTCCCTGTTCGTTGTCCTGTGTTTTGAAGTTCGTCTATACATTTCCAGATCTGTCTCCTTCCTCTCCCATTATGCTCACTAGCTGTACCTGCTTGTCTATCGGTCTGTCTTTTTTTGCCTGTCTATCTGTCTAGATGACCTCTTAGGTCATCATCATATTCGTTCTTCTTACTGTCATTATTAACCTTATTCATCGCCATCTTTATTTTTGTTGGCATCATCTTCTTGATATCACCATCAGCATTCATCTCATCATATCATTATTTTTTATTATCATAATTTTCACCACTACTGACATCACAATCATTATTTCAGTACGTGTCACTTTCACCATTATATTATCTAAATTATCATTAAGAATGTCGTCAATTTCGTTTTCATTATTTATCCTCACCGGCCGTCATCACCATAAACAATTAACTTCATCATCACTACAATCACCTGGAGGCTGCTTGAGGTGCTCCTTACACTCCCTGCCCCTCCTCCTTCAGGAACACTGGGGTCGCAGTGCAATAATACGATGGTGTGCGAACAGCGCTGGGAGTGTTCCGGTGACTTCTGCAAGTGTAGCGACGGATACGTCTACTGGGAGCTATGGTGAGCTCCGGAGTCGGTGGTGAGAGGAACCAAGTTGTGAGTGAATGCTACTTGTGAGTGAATGCTACTTGTGAGTGTGATAGCACCATGTCTTGGATGATGGTGGGGTAGAGTCACAACTTACACAGCAAGCCGTTTTCTTGAATAGTACATCGCATTTTGAGGTATAATGTCCCTAAGACCAAAAAACTGATACACTAAAAATGGCACCGGCCCGCAAAATTTACGTGATGTCCCCGTTTTGATAATTACTTCCTAATAACAGAAATAAACTTGTCAAAAACCCTAGATCTAAAAAAAATAGACCTAGGGTAAATGTAGCCTAAAATAGGCTACAGTAAATTTACTAGGTCCTGTGTTTGGAGCGTTTGGTGTAGATATTTCAGACACAATTCCTCAAGCAAATTTTTAATGTCCTTAATTAATTCCACGCACGTATGTATCAATGACAAGGTATACATAAGACTATGGTTGGTTAAATCTTTACATACGTCTTTGCTATCTTATCCGTTCTGAAGCTACTCTTTGTTATTTAGGCATGAAATATGAAAATGTTGAAATGCTTGGTTTGTAATTAGGGCCGGAAGTCCCAAAAGCCAAGTACGCCATGACCTAGGGCCCACCAGTACCAGGGGGGCCCACCAACACCAGTGGGCCCACGAGCACCAGGGGGGCCCCACCAACACCAGTGGGCCCCACCAGCACCAGTGGGCCCACGAGCACCAGGGGGGCCCCACCAACACCAGTGGGCCTACCAGCACCAGGGGGCCCCACCAACACCAGAGGGCCCACCAGCACCGGGGGGGCCCCCACAAGTTGTCTACATATGTATGTGTTAAGCCATTGAACATCCACACTGACCATAGGATGGGGCCCATTTAGGCGTTTTGGTCTCGGGCCCAAAACCAGCCAGATCCTGCCGCTGTCTGTACACGAGTTCTGGAGTATGATGAATACAACTTTGTTAGGCAGTTATTGATTCTTTTGTCGTGTGAAAGAGAAAGAGTTGAAGTGCATTTAAAATAATTAGGTCTGATTGCAGACTTTTTTTAGTGGACTTGTTCATTGAACTGACAAATAGTTTAATTTTATATTCACTTTTACGCCAATCTGAAATATTGTGGTTTTAAACTGAGTTAATGATGTATTTAGCGCTTGGTCCCATTTCCTTCCCACCTCCTATTAAACAAGAGCTAATGATATATTGAGGTTTTGGTCCCATTTCCAACTACCCCCATTAAACAATTCGTTACTAGTCTCTATCCTCATCCTCCATGACGTGACATCACTTTCGATTGCAGCTTCCTATATATAAACAGCTCACGTTAACCCACTTCTCTTTTATTTAGACAACTCAGTAAAACCTCTTTTTGCTTCAATTTCCCTTAATAAAGGATATACCTACCTTACTACTCCTACCCCCTAACAAAAATAACTCACTATTGTCTCTCGCTAGCTTATTAAATCTGTAACTTGCTAAACTAAATGATTTTGGGGTTTCAGTTCCTGAGCCTATTGTGTGCCTCTGTAACTATTTTCATTGCCGCTCACAGGATGGGTATGGGGTGCATAATAAGGGAACTATAAACTACCACCCTTTCTTCGCCCATTGCATAGACAAACTAGGATTTTTTCAGTAACGAACAACCTCCCCTTGCACGATGTCACATCAACCTTGATCGATAGTACACTAATCCTTTTCTCCTACTCCCCCACCCCCACCCTACCGCTTAAAATCCCTCCCCATTTTTCGGCCTTCCATTCCCATCAATTCCCTTTCTTTCCATTCATCACTCTCCCTTTACCAGCCGTGCCCTTCCTCCCCTCAGCGTGGTATACGAGGCGGTCCCCACCTCCGTCAGCAGCTTTGTCCTCATTATCATTCTGGCCGCCCTTCTCATCCTCCAGAGGCTTATTCATTCGTAAGTATGTACTCTCGTTGGTGCCTTCCCTCGTGAGTGCCTCTCCTTGTGAGTACCTACGCTTGTGATTACCTCCCCTCCTGAGTACCTTCCCTAACCTAGTAACCACTGCATTGCGCAGAGCACCTTAAGGTGCCCCATGGGTATATCATAATATTCACAACTCCCATGCATACAAGGGGTTCATATTTGCTTCCTCAGGCATCCAGTAACCCTCCCCCATCTTGAAAAAAAATCAGAATTCCTCATTTTCCTTCTAGGGCATTAGTAAAAAAAACGAGGACCATTTCAGGCAACATCACATCCAGTGTGAATGTGCAGGGCAGCCATACTAGGAGCCATTGAACTCTTAATAGCAAATGAGTGAATGCATGTATATTTACTGGCAAAATGTGTACTATGTGCAATTATAAGATTTAGGCTTATATATAATAATATGTATTAGTATGGATAAATATATGGTGTGCATATATTTAAACATATATCTGTATATACGCATATTTTCAAAGTTATAAATAATGAACACCAACTTTGACACATCAATACAACTTAAAATAAATATAAAATAAAATATATGAAAATAAATCGGTAAAGTTATTCCCATGCGGCAACTCACCTCATTTCTGGCAAAAAAATCGCAGCTTCACCAGGCCACTACAATTACACTACAACACATACACACTTTTTACTTGGATTTTCGTACTTCCTGGATGCTAGCTAATGAACACTACTATACAAAAAAATATTTGTTTCAGACCAATTTTTGTTGTTGTTAGCACCACAGGCTTGTCATATTTAAATGGTGAGCAGTGCAGAGGCTAGTGAGTACCTTCCCTTCTGAGTACCTCCCCTTGTGAGTACTTTCCCTTGTGACTACCTCCACCTCGTGAGTACTTTCCCTTGTGAGTACCTTGTCTCGTGAGTACCAACCCTCGTGAGTACCTCCCCTCTTGAGTACATGACCTACGACAACAGTCGATCCTTCCCTCTCTCTCATCCTCTCCTGCAGAAGGAAGGCCATCAAGAAGTGCTTGTGTCGGAGCTCACGCGATTCGGAGGCAGAGGAAACAGTGAGTGATTCTCCGTGTTATTGTTTTCATTGTTACGAGTAGTAATAGTAATATTTCTAGCATCATTACAATATATAGGAACTTTATATAGGTTACAATATAATAGTAACATTATATATATATTTATCATATATCACTATAGTGAGAGAGTAATGCCTGGTGTCCTCCCCAGAGGGCGGTGGGGTACAACCTGGAGAGCAACAACAAGACTGCAGCCTTCACCATCGCTAACTCTGACTTCTTGGCTACCTCTGACGTATGTGAATATTATCTGGTTCACACACACACACACACACACACACACACACGGGGCCTGTGGCTGAATGGATGGGGCCTGTGGGTGAGTGGACAGTGCTTGGGACTCATAGTCCTAGGGTCCGAGTTCGATCCCCGGCGATGGCGGAAAACAAATGGGCAGTTTCTTATGCCCCTGTTACCTAGCAGTAAATAGGTACCTGGGAGTTAGACAGCTGTTACGGGCTTCTTCCTGGCGTGTGCTTGTGTGAAAAAAAAGTTGATTGACAGTTGAGAGGAAGGCCGAAGGAGCAGAGGTCAACCCCCGCAAGCACAACTGGGTGAATACACACTCACATACACACTAAGGTGCCCAAAAAAATATTAGAAAGTTTTCTTTTGAAAACAGATTGGTAGAAGGTTGGAACAAACTATGTGAGAAGGTGGTGGAGGCCAAAACCGTCAGTAGTTTCAAAGCGTTATACGACAAAGAGTATGTCTCATGCTGGAAGTGCCTTTCTCAAGAAAATCACTCCATCAGCGATCATTAATTACTAGGCTTGACTCGCATCTGGAACTTGTTCGCTCAACAGGTTGATACAAGGGAGATCAGATCAATTGATCACATGAAGACTCTGGCACACAGTTGGCTACAGGCTCATCCTGTTCCTTGTATGATTTTTACGTAATGTTGTTAATGAATAAAGGCTATTCCTACTGATGCATATAACAGGCTTATGAAATAAATGGGCCACTAGGAGCAGACTTCAGATGAGCTGAATTAGGATAACAACTCATGCTTACAGTTTCACTAAGTACGTTAGTTGATAGCCCTTATGAACCCCTAGTCTTAGAAGAGAGAGAGAATGAATCACCCTTCACAACATGAGTAATTCACACCAATCTTCTCCAGGACCCGGACCTGGAGTGGGGTCTGGAGCTGTCTCGCGCACTGTCATCCCGTGGGGAGGACTGGTATGCCATGTCGGGATCCACCTGGTCCTCTTTGCCGTCCTCCACCGGCAGTCTTCCCCACACCCACTCATCCGACTCTCGCACAGACTCGGCACAACCTGGAACCTCAGGGTGCGTATGTTATTCTCTTCGTCTGTAGTGGGTATTTATAGGTTAGGTACGTGACCTACTTGCATGTACTCACCTTGATATTCTTGCATTGCCGGGCATTAGCTCCTGTAAATAACCTTCCCATCAAATTAATGTAATGATTATCTTTCCACTTAATTAATCGTTCTCGTATGGTTCTTTAAAAGTAATAATGGAACATGTCTCTGCAATCCTTTATCCTAACCCATTCTATTTACTTACGCATTCTATACTGAAGTTAAAAAAGAAGCTAGGCGTAAAGCGCCTAGCGCCAGAACGTTGCCTTACACCAAGGGGCAGTCATGTTCAATGAAACATGACTGTACCGCAAGAGTAACTGAAGGAAAGGCAGACCAAGTACAAACACGATTGTACGAATCCCGTGTGTAAGTGAACAAGTTCTCTCAAAGGGCCATAGATGGCGCCGGATAGCTAGCCAGACGTTTCCTTGACCGCTGTCTTAGTAAGGACGAAAACAGCTAGCTATATGACTGACTGACTAATCAAGGGGACAGACGCAAACAGTTCTAAATGAAGGTTCTGCAGATACAGATTACCAAGAAATATTACGGATAGGCTGTAGCTTAGAGTATCAAGTGCTAGAGGTGATTTGCAGTGTTTGGATGTGAGGTGGCCAAGTGAAGCTGGTGATTAATGAGGCTTCAGAATCTGGTGTGGATCATGTGTGAAATCCAGGATAGGGCCAGGTGTGGTTCAGGGTGAAACTAACGTGGATCAGGTGGGATCCGGGAGTGGACCGAGGGTAACTCTGGCAGGTGTATGGTAACTGTCTGCAGGTCCCAGGGTAACTCTCTCGCTTAACGTTATGAGGTTCAGTTCTGCTAGCATGTGAATGTGTGACAAAAAAGGTTCTGAGTAAACTAGTCCTGCATCCTTCTCCTACCGTCTCTCTTCCCCAGACTGCGACCGAGGTTGGCATCGTCAGGAAACAGGTCGGCCACACCTTCGCGGACTCGCCACCGCTGCTCCACACGCACATCCATATCTTCTACCTCCTCCACAGCCTCTGTGGCTCGTCCCTACGCATCCAGCTCTTCCTCTCGTGTCCGGTCGTGCACCTCCTCCATCGCCTCTCGGTGCAGTGGAACCAGCTTCAACAGATCGTCTCCTTCGCTAACATCGAACTTGTCATCGGCGTTACCTTCGTCAGCGTATAGCCACGACCATGAGGATGACCTCACAGGGTCCAGACTCTGACAAACAACTGGCAAAAATTTACCACTCTTTCATAATATTTAAAGGGGGTCAAACTAAAAGGAAGTTTGATGCCAAACTTCCACTTAATCCACTTGGATTGATGCCAAACTTGGACAGAGTGCAATAACTTTCAGCTGAAATGCTTTGTCTATCAATGAGACTATGAGATCTTGCTGAAGATGAAGTTATATTCACTAGCATGTGCAGAAGAGTCATCAGTTCATGGATGAAGAGACTCATGTTCATCAACACGTGCTAAGAGAGCATTGTCAAAAAGCCTCTTGTAGCAAAGCTTCTTTTCACCAACCTGAGAGTCATGTAAGGGATACCTGCACAATTTAGTTCTAGTATACTAGTAGCTTATCATATATGATTCCTATTACGAAGATTTAAGACATTTTATATTAATCACCTTTCCTTTGTTGACTGTGTTAAAATTATTGGATCCAAGAACCGTTTTAAGGATACCATGGTGGCTTTTAGTGACCAAATTTCATTGATTATGACAGTCGAGATAAGGCAATGAAATCAGAGAGGAGCCAGCACTTCTCTCATGAACCTAAAATTTGCTGACTTTATAATTTATAAAATAAACTGGTTTATAACTAAAGTAATTCGTTCTAACCCCAGCAGTCTTCAGAGGCTTCATTTCGGAGGAAGACTTTTTCAGTGTGTAAAAGGAGTTGCATGCTTTAGAATAGACTCAAACACTTGAAGAAAACTTTGTAGTAATAAAATTCCTCTTGTTGCTGTGTATTCCCTAGGTAAGAGAAAGCAAGAAGAATTACACTGATGTGAAGCCTCATATCGTGGTAGTGCATCTATCGTGTGGTAGTGCTGTTGTTTGCGACGCGAGAACTGTGTTCTTGAGGAAGGTAATAGATGCATTGTAAAGAGGAACCAAGAATCACTAATACAATGAGGTAAATGTGGTGTCAGGATTAGATTTTATTTGTATCTTCAAATGAGAATTAAAGAACAACCTGGCCATGTTTATCAGCCACTGAGTGCAAGACAAGATATATGTTTTAAAGTTATTAGTAAATAAATTTGCCTTTTTCTCCATATGACAATTCTTAGGCTAATATATTGTTGATGTTTAGTATTTGTCTTGGCAGATTTTCACATGTAATTTTGAGCCCGGGTGTTGACTGTTATGTAAACACTAGTCATATATGTATGGGTCCTCAGTGGTGTATTGACACCGTCAACATCATACTATTTGCCTAGCCAGAGAGTGTGTAGTTAACTATTCCTCAAGTGATGCGGTAAAGATTATCATGATTGGAATCACGATGTCCCTAGCCTAATATTCAAATTTCTTGACTAGTATATATTCTGTTTTGTTCAATATTTTATGGATTTATTGTTAAAGCTTTGTTTGCATGGTACACAGGTGAGTGGGACATAAGACCTAGCTGCGGCATCAATAATAGTTACGTGTACACTGCCTCACTGGGTGCGCTAAGATTCTCTCACATTACATTATTCCCAGTCACATGAAGTAGGACAGTTAGTGATCTAGGAATGTGTTAGCATGTGTTTAATTTTATATAATACTTTGAAATGTAATTTTGTGTGTTGATATGCCCTCTCCCTCTCGAGTTGTGAGGGTGTTGGACCGAACACCCTCGCAAGTACAATTATGTGAGTAATTGTTGAGCCCGTAATGGACTTCTCATTGTAGCGTTAACGACCCATACTATCAGGTTCCTTTCACACATTGATGATTACTAATATAAAAAGAGTATGCGGATAGGACTGAAGTTTGAGTTTTCCTGCACTGTTCTGAGTGCAGGCAATATTTTTCTTATATATGGTAATTTATTATCTAAAGATCACTTATAACAAATTTTCTAAAAATTCATAAAACTACAAAATAATTGGACATTTTCTGACAACAGGACGAGTAGAATTTTCCGTTCCCAGCATGCAATATACAAAGTCATCTTCACGCAATGTTTAAATATATTACATGCACATCCGATACAGCATTGACGTATATCAATGACTGGGCTAATACGACTCAAACCCAACTTGCAGGTCAATACCTTGCCACTGAATTTTTAAGACAAAGAAAGTGGAATTATATAATGTGTCAAATGTGGCCCAATTTCTTGGTTGACTGGAGATATTTAGCCAATGATGTGGCTATTTGATATTATATATCTAATGGGAGGTCTCATTCCCCTAATATACGCTTTATGTTGAAAGCGTATATTGTTGATATACCGCCAGTACAAACTGTCTTCGGAAAAAATCCGCTCACGGTAATGGAGTCTGAATGAATACATAATTAGTGCTATTATCTACTCTCTACCCATAGTTAGGTTAAGGTTACGTTAATACAGTGTAATGTTCGCCAAAATGTGAAATATGGAATTCGAATATATTTTACAAATCCATATCTCTTACCATCATTAATACCTTACGCTGCTACAATCGTTATATGCGATTTTCTCCTGTGCACAAATCACCATTTGCTATTGATCCTTAATTTAAGGATTGTCAGTATTTATTTTTCCATCCACATCTGGATGTAGCACTTTTAGCAGCTTAATGGTTAAACACCAACTACCTGCTAGTAACTACATAATCATTTGATTGTTGCCGCCGAAGGCGGCTAGTTTATTGTGCACCCCATACTCATCCTGTGAGCGGTAGCGCAAAAGCATTACAGAGGGCACAAAAGGTCTTTATCAGACCTCATCTTAGATTATTTCATAAACAATTTCATCTATCCTTCACATTTTATAGTTACAATGTCAGCTAGCTACAGAGAAAGTGCTATTTCAAGAGCTATATATTTACAGTAAGTCATCATACATTAATGGTAGGTCTTATCGCTAATACATAATAGTTTGGCCAATGGGGATATTACAGAGTCATGGGGGAGCTTCTGTTTATTATTAGTCCTCACAATACACTACTTGTTTCTGAATCTCATATGTCGTTCATTTACTGGAAGCGAAATGTGGATACAGTGCAAGGATTTCAGGCAATTTATCCATGGTAATAAGATAGGTTGCCATATCATACAAAGTGAGCTTAGATTTATCTCTAAATGGCTCAATTTTACTACAATCCAAGATATAGTGTTCGAGTGTGTGTCCCTGTCTTTAGTTAGTTTAGTTCATTTATTATGTACCCCATACCCATCTTGTGGGCGGTAGTGGAAAGGGTTACAGAGACACATAATGGGCTCAGGGACTGAACCCCACAATTCATTTAGCTAAGCAAGTTACAATCTTGATGAGCTAGTTACAAAATTCAATATAAGTCATCACATCAACAATGGGTTCGAGATCGACCTCAAGTACAGGTTTTAAATTAAGCAACTGACATATGTGGAGAGCTAGTGTCACAATTTATATGTTTGTCCTTCACACCGCCCCCCATCCAGTGGGCAGCGGTGGATAGGTTACAATCACTTAGTTACTACCTACAGTTAGCAAACTGGGGATATTTGGCTAAAATTTCTGGTAGCAGATCATTTTGAATGAAATATTTACACATCCGTCTTTGTCCACACACTTTACACTTTACTTCATCTAGATCCCTATAGAGTGCTCATTGGTCCTGTGGTGGAGGGCGCTGAGGAACGTCCTGACTGGGTGTCGAGCAGCGGACCCGTTGAGGAGCTGGAAACCCCAGGTATAGACCAGCCTGTGGTAAGGCGGAGGGTTGGCGTGAGCGTCATAGCCCAGGGCGGCGAGCATCGGGGCCACGACGTCCATATCATGCAGAAGGTGGAAGGGCAGACGTCCCACCCATGAGGTGAGGGCGTCCGTGTACCTGGCCCGTCTTACTTGGCTCGTTGATTTCTCCGACCTGACGTACAATGTTCGTGTTTTGTCAATAAATCTTACGCAGGGTGAGCGCATTTACGGCCCACGTACAGTTAACAAAACAAGACATTCGCTGAAACTAAATTTGCTCACAGGCTAAAAACAAACTGGAAGGAATTGCAATTAGTCATTAAATTTAAATTAAACTGGCCGCTTGGGCGCCATTTTGATTCGCAATCTGTCATAATTCACCCAAATATTTACATCCAAATATTACGTAAGATTGTATATAAGACTTGTTCCTTCTTAGCTTAAAATACAGCTTGGGCCGTCTGCGATCTTTCTAGGTAGGTAAAAATGACTTGAGGCCAGAAAGAACCGTTATCAGACGGCGATCATAACAATAAACATAGTGAAGTAGAGACTCTAAGAGACAGAGTGAAAGATGTACGTGTAACCTAAGACTGAAACCCCAAGACAAAGCGAAAGAGATTGACTCGCAAAACAGACCTAAACATATTTAGGGATTTAGAGTGAGACAGAATCAACGAACTTCAATGGGGAAGTATAAGTCTATTGGGAATGGGGAAGCACTCACGAGCTCAGAGAGATTCCTCCACTCGTCTTGTCGACGAACTTGTGGTGATGGAGAACGTGCTCACGCCACGGCAGGTCCAGGAACCTGAGGACCGAGCGCATCACTCGCCTGCAGGAGGAGTAGGAGCACCATCAGGAGTGTTGGTAAATAATTATCAAAGGATGGCACCTAGCCTGGAGGACTATGTAGTATCGTTTGTGCCATGTAAGAATGATTATCATTTATGATGCGAATACGAGAGCAAAAAGACAAAAGACTAGAGGTATGATGGAACGGAATGTTTGTGTTTGATGCTCGACTGGGATGCTGAGATGAAATGCTCAACTGGGATGCAAATGCAGAATGATAGGATGGGATGCTGGAACAGGATGCTAAGAAGAAATACTAGGATGGGATGATGAGACGGGACGCTGGGATAAGATGCGGAAGGATGGGATTGGATGCTAGGACGGGATGCTGGAGATTGACTAATTTAACAGATGTTCGTGTATAAATAGGACACTTCTCTTTATATTCTCAGACTATACTTAATAATGGGCCTCCAGTAATTGTACCACATGTTCTCACGAAACAAAAACTGGCCTTGTTATCACCACATGCTAGCATTGCCTACAAATTGCCCGAAAACAACCTGCCCGAAACGCTGCGCGTACTAGTGGCTTTACAAGATTGTAAATACTATGCTATGTATTCTCACAAACCCAATGTACCTTCCTGTATATAAATAAATAAATAATAAATAAATAAATTACTGTGAAAAGTGGCAGCTTGGAAACATTCACGTTTTCTATACATTGATAGGTTAGATTAGGTGGGTGGATTGGGTTCGTGCGTTTCTGGATAGGTTAGTACTTTGCATTTCACACAGCCTGGTTTACTACATCGCTCTCTCTCTCTCTCTCTTTCTCGTGTTTCTTCTCGGACAATTTCCATTTGTTAAGTGAAGTTGAAGTTGATATTAATATTACTGATCGACAGCTCTATGATCATATAAGACGTCTGTGAGGCGAATATATTATACAAATGTTACAGCAATAGATCGGAGAATTTGATTAAATCGTAGCTATTGTGGGAAAGGATCGTAAATATTGCACAGAACGAGGATTCCAGATCTGTATGCCACATGTATTGCCCGAAAACGACCTGCCCGAAATTTAACAAAAAGAGATACTAGCGACTTAAGTGAAGATGAACCAGCTAAATTGTAGAGAAGGATTTAAATATTTTTACAAGGGAAGCAAGGAATAGGGGGAACTTAGACACACCATACATATCAGTGCGTGTGTGTGTAATGTATGGGCTTCGTCTTTCCTTCCTTCCCTGAGAGCTGGCATTACCTGGGCTGGAGGATGAGATGCTCGTAGTAGACGGGGAGGCAAGAGTGAGGGCCAAGCTCTTCACACTCCTGCTGCATGATGTACGTGGCCCAGTTCCACATCCGTAAGCTCTCCTCGTACGACGCCAGGTTGTAGTCCATGATGGTCACCTGAGGCACAGAAAAAGCACCATCAGAGACCAACGCAACGCAGACAGGTGCAGACGTGGATCATAACAGAAAGGCATGATGGAGGATTGGCACAGACAGGATGACATGTGGCTCCATCACTCATTCCCACGATATATGAGTTTCCATCCTATTCTTTACCCACATCCTCACAACCCAAGGTCCACGTCTAACTCATAATGAGACTACTCAGTCACACACCCACAGACGTCTAAGGGGTTCGAGAGCCAATAGCTCGATTCTGTAGACATAAATTGTAAATAAATACAGACCCCATCGGGCCCACATTAAACTCATCTGCATTACAGACTTGTCACATCATAACCCTCGATCTATGCATGAGATTTGTGCTTCTCCATAGTAGTGTCTCCCTCTAACTCATGGGATAATATTCTCTTTATCTGTACAAAGTCTGCTGTTACTCGCACAGTTGTTAATGGTTAGTAGTGGTCATGCTACGTACCCTCGAGACTAGCTTGTGAGAATGGGGAGCCGCGGAGGTCAGTAGGTGTTGGGTGCTCGTCAAGAGCATAATGTCTTAAGAACTGCCTTGGCAATTGGTAAGGTTTGGTAAGGTTTGTGGGATTGGTAATATAAATTTGTATTTTGTTATTTGTAAATGTCAAAGTTATTTATATATTGTCTTTATTTATCATTATTTTTTACGCAAAGACAAATGTATTGCAAGTGTTAACTTTTGTTTTTGTTTTCATTAAAAGTACAATTTGTTTTATTTAGGGTTTTAAGTTAATTCCTATTTTCTCATAGCACACTGACGTAAATGCGTTTTTGTGTGTTATATTTAAGAGCTGGGTATCACCGCAGTACCTTAATTAACTTGGCAGACTACATAGCCCCGCATGACCCCTCCCCCTCACCGATCTGCTGACGGCGGAGTGGATGGCTGCTCGACCGTCGCGAATGACGAAGATGAACTTTGAGTTAGGGAAGAGACGGTGGAGGTAGACGGCGTTCATCATGACGAAGGGGTCCTTGTTGCACAGTCTGACCGCTTTACTGCTATCCCTCCTGATTACCCTCAGCAGGAACTTGGCCACCGCACGGTCCATCACCTGGATTTAAACACACACACATAACTACAGACGCACGACCAATGAATATATTCCCTCCAAGCATCTACCACTTACGGGCTAATCATGCCTGTGCCACCTCTTGGGTGGCTTAATCTTCATCAGTCAAACACTACAGACGAGACTAGTACCAGAGCTATGGCAACTGGCTGAGAACTCAATTTATCGACACTAGAAGAGAGAAGATCAAGAAGTGATGTTTACAATGTAAAAGATTGTGAGAGGTATAGATAAAGTGGAAAGAGAACGTCTTTCCAGGTGAGGGACAACATAAGGAGACACTGATATGCTTAAAGCAAGGGAAGAAGTGATGTAAGAAAACATTCATATGTAATGAAGGCGGAAAACACGTGGCATATGTTCAGGTAGAAGTAGGAAAGGTTACTACGATTTACAGCTTCAAGAGCAAGTACCACAGAGTACTGGAATAACGTGGGGGATGGTGCCCAACTACTTTTCCTTCCCCCGTCCCATCCCAAATCTTTATCCTGATCCCTTCCAAGTGCTATATAGTCGTAATGGCTTGGCGCCTTCTCTCGACAGTTCCCTTCCCTTACGGGGGTTGAACTTTAGCTCTTGGGTCTCGCCTCATGTTTTGTCACTCGTCTGAATCAAATATTTCCAACACAGCTTGGTCACAACACACAAACGCACTCTTGTGTACATCTATTCACCACTAAAATTATTTTCACACACACCACTTTAACTCAGTGTAGTAGTGAAATATGTGACTAGAGCGACCGCGCGCACCAGCTGCCAGGTGGCACTCCTTGGAGTGCCAGCCGACAGGTGGCGCGCGTCGTCTAGTCACACAGGCTTTTGGGGGAATTTCCCGGAAGTTTTGGCGCGTTTCGGACGCTCTCACCTGACAGGTGGCGCGCGGGTGTCTAGTCACACAGGCTTTTGGGGGAATTTCCCGGAAGTTTTGGCGCGTTTCGGACGCGTGTGAGGGTGTAGTGTTTGGGTATGTGGACGGGAAAGAGGGGAGGTCATGTTGGGCAGCTGACAGGTGGCGCGCGTCGCTCCCGTCCTCAAGTTTTTTGGGGGAATTTCCCGGCCAGTCCTCAGGGGTTAAGGTACGTGGTCAGGAAAGAATGGAGTTCTTGTTGTGTGAGAGTAAGTGGTGGAGTAAGAGGAAGGAGTGAAATGAATATGTATATGTGTTTAGCGTAGACTTAATCCTGAGTGAGGTTAATATTAGTTTGATGATCGTGAGTAGAGGATGAGAGGGGATCCATCATATTGGATATGTTGTTTTGGGTGTGGGTTGGATGGAGCTTCCCCTTCGTCTGGAGAGAGTGCTCTGGGCCATTATGTGGTTAGACAAACCATTAGCTCCCCTACAGGAAGTCGCAAGTGTTGAGGGGTGAGAGAGCACTCTCCTGCAGAAGTTGGCCATTCCCTTGGGTCATTTGTCTTCAGAGTGTTGATGTTCGTCCCACGACGACTCCCCATACACTGTGGATTCCGGTAAGGAGGCGCGAGATACTTACGACAGACCTACACCTGTCAGCCATCAATCAATCACTCCCCACCCCTCATCCCCACCCGCCCCCATACCATCAACCATTGTTCCGTGCATTCTCTTTTAGTATGTGTAAGCTATATCGCAACGTGATCAACATGGTGAGAGCAATAACGAGGGAAAAGTAAACACATTATATAAATTTATTCCGCGACGGAGTAAGCGTGCTGGTCGCAGGTTGGAGCCCGACTGATCAACTTTCCAACTAGTCCGGGTATTTCTCCCCCGACACCGGAAGTGGTGGGGCACCCATTACCATTGCGTTTCGCCAGGGTCCGCGATGGCGGGTGCCACGCCTCGCTCTGTCTCTGTCTCTCTCTCTGTCTATCTCTGTCTCTCTATCGGTCTGTCTCTGTATGTCTGTCTCTGTCTCTGTCTCTGTCTCTCTCTCTCTGTCCATCTCTGTCTCTCTGTCGGTCTGTCTCTGGCTCTGTCTCTCTCTCTCTCTCTCTCTCTCTCTCTCTGTCTCTGTCTCTCTCTGTCTCTGTCTCTCTCTCTCTCTCTCTCTCTCTCACCCTCTCTAAAGTCCACCACACAGCACTTCACTTAGTAAATTCAGTCAAAGTCAGTAGGTTGGCGTTTACTAAAAGAGAGAAACATTTCACATCGTCACGGAGACGCGATCTATACCTACAAATTGTTCTTGTTAACTGTGATCACAACATCTGCCGGCCCAAATAAATACCATTGAAATGTATGCATGTTTATCAAGTCATAAGCTGGTCTTCAATCTTATTATTATAACAAATCATAATTTGCTGTTCTCTCTCTCTCTCTCTCTCTCTCTCTCTCTCTCTCTGTCTCTCTCTCTCTCTGTCTCTCTCTCTCTGTCTCTCAGTCTCTCAGTCTCTCAGTCTCAGTCTCTCTGTCTCTCTGTCTCTCTGTCTCTCTGTCTCTCTCAGTCTCTCAGTCTCTCTCTCTCTGTCTCTCTGTCTCTCTGTCTCTCTGTCTCTCAGTCTCTCAGTCTCTCTCTCTCTGTCTCTCTGTCTCTCTGTCTCTCTGTCTCTCTCTCTCTCAGTCTCTCTGTCTCTCTGTCTCTCTCTCTCTCTCTCTCTCTCTCTCTCTCTCTCTCTCTCTCTCTCTCTCTCTCTCTCTCTCTCTCTCTCTCTCCAGATCATTTAGTAGTTGGGAAAGTAACATCATTTCCTTTCTCCTGCTGCCGCTGTTCACATATCTTTATCCATCAAGGCTGTCTCTCTTAAGACCTACGTCATCCAATGTAAACACCAATCGATGAGAATAAGACCGGTGAGTCGATAGTGAAATAGGTCTGGGTTAAGTCTGTTTTCAGTTCTTGTATCACAGTCAATGTAGCGTAATGGGAAACCAGTCTTTCTACTGCCTACATAAATAGCGTTTGAAAATGTATGCAAGTCTAGACAAACTCCTATAGCCCTTACATTCTAACACAAATAAAATATTAGCACACGATTGTATCGCATTATATCATCATTAAGTAACGTAGAGATCAACTTTCTGGCTGTTGTCCGAATATCATTATTGAAATGTGAACTCATTTAGCCAAACACAATATCTCCATTACATCTCTTAGCATATGAATATTACGGTATACCCGTTTTAACCCTCTATAACACAATGTAACGTAACGTAACGTACCGCAAATCAACTTTCTACAGACCAAATATCGTTTTTAAATGAAAGTATGACATAGTCCATCTTCATTACATCTCTCACCATATAAAATATTGGCGTCTACCCCTTTTAGCCCTCTGTAACACAATGTAGCGCAACGTAACGTAACGCAAATCAACTTTTGCAGACCAAAATGTCATTTTGAAACGGAAAGTGTGGGATTAGTCCTTATTCATTACATCTCTCACCATATAAAATATTGACCTCTACCCCTTTTAGCCCTCTGTAACACAATGTAACGCAACGTAACGTAACGCAAATCAACTTTTTGCAGTCCAAAATGTCATTTTGAAACGGAAAGTGCGGGTTAGACCATCTCCATTACATCTCTTACCATATAAATAATTGATGGCTACCCCTTTTAGCCCTCTGTAACACAATGTAACACAACGTAACGTATCGCAAATCGACTTTTTGCAATCCAAAATGTCATTTTTAAATGAAAGTATGACTTAGTCCATCTTCATTACATCTCTAACCATATAAAATATTGGCGTCTACCCCTTTTAGCCCTCTGTAACACAATGTAACGCAACGTAGCATAACGCAAATCAACTTTTTGCAGTCCAAATGTCATTTTGAAACGGAAAGTGAGGGTTAGACCATCTCCATTACATCTCTTACCATATAAATAATTGATGGCTACCCCTTTCAGCCCTCTGTAACACAATGTAACACAACGTAACGTATCGCAAATCGACTTTTTGCAATCCAAAATGTCATTTTTAAATGAAAGTATGACTTAGTCCATCTTCATTACATCTCTAACCATATAAAATATTGGCGTCTACCCCTTTTAGCCCTCTGTAACACAATGTAACGCAACGTAGCATAACGCAAATCAACTTTTTGCAGTCCAAATGTCATTTTGAAACGGAAAGTGAGGGTTAGCCCATCTCCATTACATCTCTACCATATAATTAATTGGTGACTACCCCTTTTAGCCCTCTGTAACACAATGTAACTCACCGTAACGTATCGCAAATCAACTTTTTGCAGTCCAAAATGTCATTTTTAAATGAAAGTATGACTTAGCACATCTCTTACCATATAATATTGACCTCTACCAGTTTTAGCCCTCTAACACAATGTAACGTAACGCAAATCAACTTTTACAGCCCAAAATGACATTTTTAAATAAAGTAGGACTTAGTCCATCTCCATTACATCTCCTTCCATAAGAATATTACAGTCTACAAGTTTTAGCCCTCTGTAACACAATGTAACGTAACGGGGAAAATCATCTTTGTCGGATGAGCAAATAACATTATTGAAAATGACATCCGTGTTTAGCCATTACATCCAAACACAAGAAAAATATTACCGTTTTTCTTGAGAAACTTATATGTGGAGATCATATCTCCAGAGTCCACACAATAAGCCACACATCACTCATCTTCTGTTTTCAAATCGCAGCTCGCATCTAATTTAATGTTATTTTTTTTTTTTGCAGAAACTATGTTTTTGAGATTATGCTCAATGTCGGCAATTACTATTCGTATCATCAAACTCCTTTCAGTCAACAAAATTCACATTTCATATCGCGTGTGTAGATTAGAGAGAGAAGGCAAACATAGCGTGCAGCTAGTCAAAACTTATCATAACAGATATGATTTCACAGAGTTTTTCAACCTTTGCCAGTTTTTTTTTCATTGTTATCTCTTCACTCGTGCTAAGTGAGTCAGACAAAATGTGACATTTCATTTCATTATTAGCCATGCAATATGCTATTAGCTAGGTAGTCAAAACATATAACAAGCGTTATTTCACAGGAATTTTTTCTAGCAAATATGCTTCCTTT